GTCTATCGGCCGTTTCCTTATTGCGTGCCGTGGTCCGAAGCAGGGCTTCCCGGGCATCGCTCCAGACCTGGTGGCAGCGGCGCAGATGTTCCTGAACAGAGCCAGTTCTTTCTCCTGGGCGGGACAGTGGGGGTTGATATCCTAGAGCTACCTCAAAGGGCGAGAGGCCGGTAGCGGAGGTGGTCAGCGAGTTTTGAGCATACTCAATCCAGGGGAGGGGTTTGGCCCAGGAGGAGGGATGCTGAGCGGCCACACAACGAAGGGATGCTTCCAGGTCCTGATTTGCCCTCTCTGTCTGACCATTAGATTGCGGATGAAACCCTGAAGACAGACTGACAGAGGCACCAAGGGCAGAACAGAATGTCTTCCAAACATGTGAAATGAATTGTGGGCCTCTATCGGAAACGATATCCACAGGTATTCCATGGGGACGGAATACATGTTGGACTATGAGGTCCGCTGTCTCACTAGCTGTAGTAGGTAATTTAAGTAATGCTATATAGTGAACAGATTTAGAGAATCTGTCCACAATGGTAAGTATAGTATCATTACCAGACATAGGTAGGCCGGTGATGAAGTCCAACTCCACGTGGGACCAGGGGCGACTATGGACAGGAAGGGGTCGCAGAAGACCAGAGGGCGATTGGTGGGTGGCTTTACCCAGAGCACAAATAGAGCAGGCCGCCACATAGGCTCGGATGTCCGCTTCCACCGAAGGCCACCAGAAGTGTCTCTTTAGAAGCGTTAAAGTGCGATGCATCCCACTGTGACAGGCAAAACATGAGGTGTGAACCCACTGCAAAACTTGGGGGCGCACGGACTTGGGAACGAAGAGCCGATTCGGGGGTTCCTCCCCAGGTCCAGGGTCCAAAACTTGGGCCGCTCTGACTAGCGAATCGATCTCCCAACGGACAGCGGCCACAACACAGGAGGGTGGCAAGACTGCTTCAGGTTTGTTGGACTCCTCAGTGTCTGCGAACTGACGGGACAGGGCGTTTGGTTTACCATTTCGAGAGCCAGGTCTGTAGGTCAAAGTAAAGTTCAATCTGTTGAAAAACAGGGACCATCTGGCTAGACGAGAATTAAGTCTTTTGGTGGACTGGATGTAAGCCAGGTTCTTATGGTCAGTCCGCACCACAAACGGTTGCTCCGCTCCCTCTAGCCCAGTCTTTTTCAACCGCTGGTGTGCTGCGAGAGGCTGTCAGGTGTGCCGTGAAAAAAAATCATTTTTTACATACTGTCACTTCATTGGTGAAAAAAAAAAGAGCCAACTTGTGTGTTTGTGTGTGTGTGTCGTCGCGCTGTTGGTGGTATGAAGGCTTAATACTCTCTGCCTGTGGGTGGCGGTACGCAGCGTAATTAATAGGCAGATTTGCTGAGGTGACAATTTAAAAAATGCTTCTTGGTTTGCGTCGTTGCGTTGACGCACTCGTTTCAATTCATGCTTCTAAAAGTCTTGCGTGTGTTGCAGAGCAGTTCACCTCCAGAACAACAGGCGGAGTAACGTGTTTTTGTTGAAGACGACCTAGAGAGTCACGTCTATTTATTTATTTGTTTATTTATTTATCATAGACTGAGTAAAAAAGTATAACATAAACACAGTTGTACATATTTTGAATTTATAATTAAATTATAAAGGTATTGCTACAAGTGGATGTCCCATTAGTAGCTATTTACACCAAAATGGCATCATAATTTGAGAAGGCTGGTTTTATTACAAATATCCCCAACAATGTAACAGTAAAACGTGAAGTAGCCAGTTGTGGCAGTGAAGACACTCCACTAGATGTCTCTTTGCTGTCCTGCTCCTAAATGGTGGAACAAGCTCTCTGAAGACATCAGGACCACAGAGAGCCTTCACATCTTAAGACTTAAGCCTACTTTATGCGTCTGCGTTTTCAGAGCAACGCAGACGCAAGACCCCCTTGCATGTGTTTTCACACCTCCTTGCGTCCATGCGTGTGTCGAGCCATTTTTCTAGGCTTGCGTCTCTAAAGGCTCCGGCTCATGCTTCTGCGTCGTTGCGTCGACGCAATCGTTTCAATTCATGGTTGCAGAGTAATTCACCGCCAGAACAACAGGTGGAGTAACGTGTTTCTGTTGAAGACGACCTAGAGAGTCACGTCTATTTATTCATCATAGACTTTATTGCCCCGTGCATCGCCACTGCTGCTTTTCATCGCGGACACATTTGTCCCGTATTTTCCTCCACAACTTTGTACACCTCTCGACCGGCAAACCGGCGTTTGCGGCGATCTCCCTCCGTAAATCCAACCCGCTTCTACAACCCGCCAATGACGGCTTGTATAAGAGGTCAAATTTGCGCATTTCTTCCGACAAAAGTTCTTAAATCTGATCCGTTCTCTCGTAAACATTCTTCGTTTTAATAACGGCGGTATCGGGCTATGAAAGCGGAAATGTGAGACTCCGTAAAGGACCAGACCAATCCCAGCCTGGTGCGCTGCGGGAGGCTTGCGTTGCTGACGTAAGCCTAGAAAAATGGGTCAACACACGCAAGGACGCAAGGAGGTGGGAAAAGCGACGCAAGGGACACGCAAGGGGGTCTTGCGTCTGCGTCGCTCTGAAAACGCAAAAGCATAAACTAGGCTTAAGAGATACCTGGGCATAAAGCCTGTGCCATCTTGGCATTAGGATGATGTTAAGTTTAATAAAACACAACAAATAGAACAATCGTTTCCCTGATTTCTTAGAGTATATTATGCTCATGCTGATGTTTGGGATTGATTTTCATATCATTTCCAGTTGTTGGTGTGCCGTGAGATTTTTTTCTGTGTCTCAAGTGTGCCTTGACGCAAAAAAGGTTGAAAAACACTGCTCTAGCCAGTGACGCCATTCCTCCAGCGCCAGCTTCACCGCCAACAACTCCTGATTACCGCCAACAACTCCCGGAACAGCCGATCCCAGGCACTCAGAATGACAACGGTTGCTCCAACTATGGATAGCTTGATGTTGCCAATCAATTTTGGGGTTATGCAAATGCAACCAAGGGAAACCGAGGATTAGAGGGGTGGTTGGGGCGGAGATGACCTTAAAACTGATCTTTTCCCGATGGTTCCCAGACAGAATCAATGTAATAGGGATGGTTTGGTGAGTAATCTTTGACAATTGATGGCAGTAACAAGGAGGGGGGAAGAAATCGACTCCATGGGGAAACCGGCTCAATGCCCTATGCAGGACTCCATTCAGGGTCTCCAAAAAGGCCGAATACTCTGAGCTGCTGTTTGGTGCATATGCAAAGACAACAGTCAGAGCTTTCCCCTCCACCACCCGAAGGCATAGGGAGGTGACCCTTTTGTCCACTGGGGTAAAGTCCAATGTAGCAGCACTCAGCTAAATCTTTAACTTGTATATACAAAATATTCAGTGAATTTATTATCATGAAAGTGTCGTACGGAAAAATGTACATCTTTGTCTGGATAAATCTATTTTTATTGCATTTCAAACTTTGAAAAAAACATGCAATTATAGGGCTTTTACTTTGCAGAAATCTCCAAATCTGTACAGTAAAAATGTTTCAAATTCAGCATGCTAGTAGTCAGAGAGGTCCTTAACACAGATACATTGGTCTTGCCTTGGAACTATTGATGAATCTGTTTTTATGGCAGTTAAAATGTGGCAGCCTGATCTCCAAGACCTGTTTGTAAAAATGTATACGAAAATCTTGAACATACAAATTTCGTAGTGATACATACAAAATGACGTCCCCTATTCAAAGTGAATGGGGACCTGCACCCCGTAAACACACTTTGTGAAGTCTAACGATGTAAAATAAACGTGTTATGATTGCATTTTTAACGAGAAATCAATGTTAACTTGTAAGAATAGAATCCTAACCCTAACCCCCTCCAAAAATCCGGAGAGGCGGAGAGACGTTCACTCAACAATCCGACATGGTCCGCCATGTTGTTCACTCAAGGGGCGTGGTTAACCACCGCCAGTTCGTATGTATCACTACGAAATTTGTATGTTCAAGATTTTTGTATACATTTTTACGAACAGGTTTTGGAGATCACGTTGAATATGGAGATATAGTATTTTTGAACGTGCAATTATAGGGCTTTTACTTTCGAGAAATCTCCAAATCTGTACAGTAAAAATGTTTCAAATTCAGCATGGTAGTGGTCAGAGAGGTCCTTAACACAGGTACATTGATCTTGGAACTATTAGGAAATCTGTTTTTATTGCAGCTCAATTATGGAGAACTGGTGTTTTTGAAATGTCAATTATAGGGCTTTTACTTTAGAGAAATCTCCAATTTTTTACTGTACAAATATTTATTTTATTGTACACCAGTAGTCCTGTAGGCCTACACACATACTTCTATTATTGTCTGGAATTTGCTATTTAAATGGCCTTTTTTCGGGTTACTTGTTCAATACCGTAAATGTAAGCATATACGTGCACTAAAATTCAAGCTTCGGCTGCGTTGACCAAGGAAATCCGAGTGTCGGCTGAGTTGACCGCAGTTCTTTAGACTCTACCTCCACTAAAACACTAACTAACTGCAGCACTTAAATTGTACTTATAACGCCACTTATCTATAGCAAGTTGTAAATTGGCTTATTTGAGGAAATTGCACTTTCTTGTTTCTTTTTCTTCTGAGTTTGTACCCTTATGGTTAAATGCACTTATTGTAAGTCGCTTTGGATAAAAGCGTCTGCTAAATGACATGTAATGTAATGTAATGTAATGTAATGTAAAAGAGGTCAACACTGAGTCTGAAGCAAAAGTACAATACCGGCTTCAACATGCAGCCACTTATTGCGCAAAAACGACTTCCGACGTCCGACTTCCACTAAAGGTTTCCAGATGTGGAAGGAGTCGAGGGCTGAATGCTGGACTGAACTGAATATATGATATAATAACACATCTGTACTGGGCTGGACAAGTGGTTTGTGACGACGCGCACCATTATAACACGACAGCACGTCCGGGGGGAGACGAGGGCTCCGGGCTGCTGCTCTTCCGGACTCTCCTCTCGCAGAGGGAGGACCCGGGAACGCCGCCAGGGGCTGACTGTCCGCCCGTCTGTCCGCCCGTGTCTCTGCACGTCTGCGTGTCCCTCCGCCCATCCGCCTGTCTCTCTGCACGCGCCACTCCGCCGACACCGACCCGACGAGCTCCCCGCCCGAAGAAAGGAGAAAAGTTACCCGACTCGCAGCCGACATGTCTCAGGTGAGAAGGCCGCTTGGTCCGGGATTAAGCTCGACGCGGTTTAGTAACGTGGACCTCAGGAACATTAGTTCGTTCGCGAGCTGACTCAGATGGCGGAGAAACTACCGGGAACGGGCCGCAGAGAACTAACGAGGTTCTAACCGCGGACGGGCCTCCCGGTCCCGGTCCCGCTCACAGCGTCGCTCGTCACTTCATTATTACTTTAGTAATAGTGACGCTTCGTCGGAGTGTCTCCGTGCTGACGTGAGGCCCGTGTGTTGCTGTCTGTCCCGTGTGTTGCTGTCTGTCCCGTGTGTTACTGTCTGTCCCGTTTACTACGACATCTGTCTCATGTATTATATTCAAATATCACATTCGCGGCTCGTCAGTAAAGCCTGTCCCCGCGTATTTCTGTGTAAGTACGTTGGAGCAGCGCAAACATCTGTCGGATGTTCCCGTGGTGTCCTTGATGTTCAGTAGGGAGGGGCCACTTTTTCTTTGGCGGAAGAGAATATACAACTTTTACTGTAACAGCGCAGATAAAACAACAGACTACAGCGACATCGCTCACTGAACCTCATTGGGAGCAAACAATGGGGCCCTGGACCCCAACAACGTCCTCACACCACAAGTGTTGATGTCCACTCGGCAGTGAGCTTGAAATGTATGAAGTTTTTGTGTGTGTACATGAAGATTCTCCACAGCCCAACTGTCCGGTGTAAGTCCAGAAGCGTTTTGCCGTGTTGTCGCGTTGTCCCCAGTCAGGATGTCGGTGCTTCCTGAGTCGGGATCGTTTCTGTTGAGGTGAAGCAGGCCTGCAGCAGCTTGCATGAATCACTCACTAAGGGTGTGGTTGTGACAAAGCCGTTGGCCCACATGCACCGAGTAAACGTCCTTATTGCTGCTCGAAGCCAAGTTGAAATCCACACCGAATCAAATTCATTTCTGTAACGTGAAAGATATTTCAGAGGATCCGTTTTTCGTCTTTTAGCTGCTCAGCAGCTCACAGCTGGAGTCTAGCTGGTGAACTAATGGTGACAGTGACAGAACTCCAGGGAACCGAGACAACTACAAAAGAGTCCAAATTGGGGGACATTGATCAGGTGGACACGTAGTCTTACTAATGAATAATCATGTTGCTCTGTAACTGCTGGATGATCTGCATTAAGGGCGCAGGGGGGGATCGCTGCAATGGCTTAATTCAAATAAATAGTTTTGTTAATCCCTCGTAACAAACAGAACTTTAGTCATATCCATTTTCTGTGCAAAACTAAATGTAAACAATTACATTTGGCAAGTCAAACAATAGCACTTTGCTCTTTGCCTAAAGCTAACTGCTAAGTGGTTTTGCTACCTAAACCTTATCTCTTTTTAGTTGGTCAAGTTAACTTCAACCAAGCTCTCCTCCTAAACCGAGCTCGAGTCAACTTGCCAATCTAAAGTACAGTGCCTGGAAATACACATTAAATTAAAAATACATTTAGAATGGAAACATGCTGCTCTGGTTATGTTGACCATCTTTTTCATTTGTCTTCTCGCCATCTCTTCTCCTCAGCAGTCTGACCTGGAGAAGGCCATCGACACACTGGTCACACAGTTCCACTCTGCTTCAGCTGACAAGGGTCCAACTCTGAAAACTGATGAGTTCAAAGGTCTTTTGTCCTCCCAGATGCCTAATCTGGTCAAGGTAAACCAGCTGGCAGTGTCCATGTGCTTCACTCTCAGCCAGGCCTGCTATTGACTACAACAGTTGGGTCTGACATCACACCTCACATTACTCACTGTGCACAAAGAAATCCTCACCAGCCCCACGGGCCTTATGCACAGATATATACAGATAACACCATTTAGGTTTTGATTATATTTACCATCAAGGTTTTTTAAACTAGTATTCTTCTGAAAATGTATTATTTTAATCTGTGTTGATCACAATAGAAATAGCTACTGTATATATGGGGATAGAGAAGTGGATTATTTTGTATATGGATGTTAAGTTTTGAAACTGAATGGAATCAATTAAGGATCAGGGTATTTTTCCAAGTGGACGAGGGAGTCCAATACGACCCTGGAAGAAATCCTGATTTTCTCAAGCAATTTTACCACGTTCCCAAATGCAATGCCCATCCCAATACAATGTAAAAAGTGATCCCTTATTGTATGGGCGAAGATTTGGTCTGTGGATAGACTTTTCCCAAGGAACACACTAATCTTTTCTACCGGTTTTTACTTTGCTCATTATGACAAATCAGGTCGGCTCAGACCAGGGCTTCAGTGAGATCCTGCGGAAGATGGGTGTGGGTGACGGCGAGGGCATCTCTTTCAAGCATTTCTGGAACTTAATCCAGTCAGTAGCCTCCTCACAGCACGGCCTCCTCAAAGGGCAGGGGAGGTCCTCCTGTGGCTGCATCCTCCTGTGAAGAGCAAACTCTCAGCCCAACACATCAGCACTACGTTTTCCACCATGTTTAACAATAAGCACCTCACTTTTCTAACTAGGTTCTGACAGAATACAAAGTATAGTACAAAGAAGCCACATTTTTGACTCAAACATTCCTTTTTTATAATGTAATCTCTTATCTGAAACACCTCTGCCAGTATGTACTGCCCACCATCCTTTGCACCAGTTAAAGTGAAAATTCAGCTTAATTGGTATTTCATGCATGTTGGTATACTTTTAAACAATCTTACAATAAAATATCCTATAGGCCAGGGTTTTTAGTTGGGATTAAACTGGTGAAAAGGGGGAGGGCAACATTCACAGTGAGATTCACGTCTACTTATTTGTCACATTTTTTCCCCGTGTATAATATTGATTTATGGTGCCTTCAAACTAACATTACGAGTATGAACTTGCTTCTGTTTTGGTATTAACAACTTCACAAGTACTTTTAAAAGTTTGGAAAATGAAAACATGCCCTTGAAATGATTAAAAACAAAGAAAACTTGTAATTAGATATATGACACTAATTATCTGAAAAACATACCTTTTTGATTCATTCTAAATGTTAGTATTTCGGACAATGCATTCATGTGATGAAACCGCTTAAATTGTGTGCTTTGTAGTCCCGTATGTTTCTACAAGTAATGCTCTACACTGCAATTCTGCATTTTCTTTGTATTTATATTTCGATATTCTCTATTCTGACCTGTAACCCCTGAAGAAAAATGATGTAATAAACATACAAAGAAATAACAAAAACTGCAATTTGATATTGTTAAATCATTTACTTATGTTTAAGAAAAGCATTCCTTAAAGTCTATACATTAAGTAGCTTAGATGAAAAAGTGACTGTTTTCATGAAGTACGCTATTTAAACAGATATGAAGCAGAACCATAAATCTGAAGCTGATAGATAGATTATGCTGCACTATATGGCCGTATCCTATAATATGGCCTGAAACAACATCTGTGTCAAACCTTTTTGCAAAAGAGGAATACTAATCCAACAAATACACAAGCATTATGGATGTGTATTCTCATTTAAAGAGGGAGTACAACCTCTCTTGAGTTTCTTTCCCTCTGGTGTACCTCGAAAGTACTCAAGATAAGAAGAGAACACATATCTATTCATGACTTTAACCCTCCCAAAGATTTCTAGCTCTGTTTGCTCGTCATGTCCAACGGCATTCATCAGCTGTTTCGATTTGATGTACAGGGCATTTTCCTTTTCAACAACCTGATCCAACCAAATCTGTGTATTTCTTGGTGACATTTCATAGTTGTCAACAGTACCGCCATAGAATCCTCGTCGCAGATGTTTTGGCCAAGGTTGGTCAGTCTCCATGGGGTGGTCAAGTCCAACAAAGGCTGTACACAGGGGGCTGTCAGTACCCCGCAAGCGACCAACTTCACAACCTATCACGCTCATAAGAAAAAGCGAGAAGGTCCTGAAGTTATACACGGATGACGAAAACACTGCAGCCATGAAGTATCGACCCCATCTCTCACAGTTGTAGCTACACTGCTGGAACTGGAAAGTCTGGCGACAGAAGTCATTGAATTTGGCTGCTTTGAGACCCTGTCTCAACTCCTGCAGGGAAAACTCACCCTGCTCACTAAAAGTCTTACGGAAATATTCAATTTCTGCTTGATTGTCCATGTTCATGAACTTGCCTGCCAGACTTACATTTAGACTTTCTCTTTGTACTTTATAAATGCATGCATTGAGAACGTAATAAAGGTCTGATGCAACTTCCTCTTTGGCATTGTATCGTATCTCCACAAGTAGATCTTGAATGTTACTGATATGCTTCAAGACAATATTGTTTTCTTCTGGTCCTGGCTCTGTAAGCCAAATTATTATCTGGAGGGTTTTGTCTGGGACGTAATTAGGAGCACGCCTTCTTTCATTCTCCTCAAAGAACAAGCTCCAAGTGAGCCCCTCCAGGCAATCTATGGAAGGGTACTTTTTCCGCAGCTCCATTGGAACAAACATTTGAGGGTGACGAGGCCACTCCAGTGTCTGGAAATACAACAGATTTCCTTCATAATCAGAAAACACTGGCCCTGCACAGCCAAGTTCCACTTGAACTAGCAGCTCACCTCTTTCGTCTAGTTCAGCAATAACCCTTCTGCGGTGGTCATGGGACCTCCAGACCCCATTAGTCCTGGTCATTATTTGTCCATCAAAACTAACAGACAGGAAGGAGTTGTGTAAGTGTAGCTGAGTTTCCACGCTGAGAGACTGGAGAACTTGTAGCAGCTGCCGCATAAAGTTCAGGTCATTTCCAAGGTTGCAGCTGAGGAGGCTGATGGTGCCAATACGACCAAAAATGCTGTATGTTGTTAAGGTTGACACAAATCTGGCAAGTTCTTCTGGGCCATAACCAGCAAGCTGGACTGTTCCATTGGCTCCATTGCTGCCATGGCCAACCAGTATGACATCATGATTTCTATTGGAAAAGGAATGGCTTCCCCTCAGCAAATGTACAGCCCCCTTCTGGTACTTCAGCAAAGTTGATACAGTCAGATGCCTCTCAAAGAGACTGGTAGCTGCCTTGATCACTGCTGGGTCCTCTTCCATAATAACTATAGTCTGTTGACGTGTTTTACTAAGATCTCTTTCCCCAAAGCTCATGTGTTGTCTCATTTCTGTCTCAAATGTGTTACAACCAAAAGTTAAACTGTCTACCCAAGTCAAATGAAGTGGTAAAGCCTCCTTAATGAGACAAATACCTCCACCACAAGCAGGTATTGTCTCATTAATGGAACACAGTACGTGAAAGAAAGGAATCGAGAAATCAGTGATAATCTGGCACAATTTAGACAACATTTGAGATTCTCTAAACAACAATTCTACTCTTGTATTGATTGCAAACATTAGCTTCGACCTGGTATTTCCATAAGTATAAATTGGCCACTTTCCAGGGTCCCCAGGATCTGGTTGTAGTGGGTCAAACCCTAGTGGAGTCCTCTGAAGACATGCCCTGAAAATAGATAAGAATTACAGGTTGGCCAAAATCAAGTCAATGCACTTGCTTAAATTAATATAATTGTAATATGCCCTCTGATGAACGCACCTAAGTAGTTTTATTGTGAGTTTATAGTGTAATGTCTCGGTAACACCATAAAGTCCCGATCATCATTTGTAGACCTTCACATTGAGAGCTGATATTTGTTGGCATAAGGTCTTATTTGACATGTTAACAGCAAATAGTAGTAGTAGACGGAAAAAGCTTCTCCTTCCTAGCTACTGCAATGTTAACAATATGAGCTGTGAAGCAATAGGCTGCATCGACAAGGAATGTTTCAATGGAAGCAGGGACATGTGAACCACACTTGACACGCTGCACGTCAATGTTGAGCTGGCCTCAACCGTTTTCAGCATCGACCAATCATCTTCTCTTCACCATCTCCCTGCCCACAATGCCTCTTCTGATACGGAAGAAAACATTAGTGTGGATAGCTAATCCCCAGTGCTACTTAACAAAAATGAATACAGCAACACTTAAATGGAAACTCAGTGACAACGTGTCAGGATCCCACCAGCTTCACTCACTCCTCCCACTCGTTCACAGTCCCCTGAATTCTACTCATCGTCACCTGCACCTCATCAGCTCACCTCCCTTTATATCTGGCTCCTCTTCACACACTCTGTCTGGTCTGGTCTCTACAGGACACCACAGACTCCAAGCTACGTACCTGAATCCCTACCGGCTGATCCAAGGGACTCTCCTCCAGTCCGTAACCTGGAACTCGGACTATGTCCTGTTAACGTTCCATCCTGGTCATCTGCCTGCCTATTCCTCATATCTCCGTCTGCTTCCATTATCGTGTCAATAAACTATTGAACTCACCTCACGGCTGCCTCCTGTCCCCCATTCGTGACACAACGTAGCAGGTCACTTTGCCGCTGCTCGTAGTCAGCAAATAACCTTGAACTCTAGTAATGCTAGCGTCTCTCTAGAGTTGTACTTGCTCACGTTGTAATTGTTTTGCACGTCATGCCTTCCACAATGACTAAATTAATCAGCACCCTACTGTCTCTACAAAAAAGATGATCACGTTCCAAAGGTAGTGGAAAAAATAAAGTCCAGCGAGAGATGGAGAGAACCATTCAACAAACTGCAATCATCCTTCCAAATGCAAATGTCAAAAGAGGCAAAGCAGCCACTGCATGCTGCTGAAACTTTGTTCTGCCCTTCAGAGCTGTCAAGTGAAAAGTGAAAATGTATTTTTGTGTGTGTTGTCAGGCCAAATAAATTTGAAGTCACTTGATGAAATAACCGTCTATTATAATGATCTCAGCTAAATTTAAAATTACAACCATACGCTGCACTATCTTCCCTGGTGCTTCTTAAACTCTTAAACGCTGAAGCCAAATTCTTCCCATGGTCCCGATACACCCCGAGCAGAACTCTGTAGCAACCTTGACATTAGGATTTAAATGGCTAATATCCAATCCTAAGCTTTTCCCTATTTTTACCAAATTGTCTGGCATCCAAAATGGATGAACTAGATAACCTATGGGACAGTTAAACAATATACATATGACAGAGTCCTCATATGTGCTTGATATGATTTGGTAAAGACATTTTGTCCATCCCTGTAACTCTGATGGTTAGTAGAAAAGCTTTACTACAGATATGTATTATTACAACAATGTAGAGTAAAGAAATCACATTAACTGCAGTTGATATTATAGCCTCTAGATATAATGTCATGTAAGAGATAATGTCATGTTAGGTTCATCACTGAAAGCAGACGTCTGTTGCATTATGTGGTGTCTCACCGGTTTCCTAGATCAGAACGGGAGGGAGTCCTCTGAACACTCCAATCTGTAATGACAAAAAAGCTAATAGATCAAAGACATTCTCTGATTCCCATTCCCATTGACAGGCTGTTAACTTTAAATGCTGCCTTGTGAGTCATGAATACTTCTGGCTAAATATGCATTGACACTGTAGGTCAAAACAACCCTAAAAAAATGCTATGTTGATACCTGACTTAATACAGATATGCTACCATAATAAATGTGACAGAGACTTCACAATTAGCCAGACTCAAGGAGAGCCATTACAAAGTACTGATCTTACCAACATTCATTCCTGCTGCCAAAGAAAGTTGAATGATAATGACACTTAATCCACAAGGTTTCAGCATGGTTTCTCTGCACAGCTGCTAAAGTGAAGATCACTGTGAATTCAGCAGGCCGAGACGGGAGCCAGTCAGGTCATATCTCAATCCACATTTGTTTAGATAAGAATGGAAATGGCATAATGCTTCCAACTGTGGTCTTGATCAGTTAAACAATAAAAACGGTATACTGTGAACATTTCCTTTGACTGCTTTTGAACTATGGCTTACTTCTCTGTGTAAACAATTAGCATGGTTTCTTCCTATTTTGATTGTGAATTATTATTAACACTTTGACTGAATATGTAGCTTTCCAAAGATTGTGCTGACGTGTCACTGAAAACAGGTTGGTCTCAGAGACTTTCCCTGTTGCTCTCCGAAATCAAATAAAAAATAAATTCAGAAAAACATTGAACATTTTCTGGTGTTTTCTCAAATGTTTTCTTACGGACTTCGGAAGGCAAACGTCAGAAAAGATCTCCGCCTGATTCATGAACGCCTGAAAATGGGTTCTTACACGGGCAGTGTTCTCATTTGGGCTCCCCCTCACGGGTGTTCTCGTAGGCCCAGATTTGCATACAGAAATACCTTGTCAGCTCCTTATAAGGGCATGCGACCGAAGAGACATGTGCACAATTGACAGCCTGCAACAGGCAACGCAGAAGCAACTTCAGATTGATTAAAATCATGTCAAAGTGGAAAGTGGAGAAAACTGAGATCTGACTTCATCGGTGCATAATGTAGATGTGTCCATTTACACTGTGGCAATAGACTTTAGTACGAACTTATTTAATCACTTTTATTTGCAATGTTCGTGTAGTGCTTTTGTTTATTTAATGATATCACGATGCCTCTTGAATCTTGAATTGTGAACGTAATCGTTAATGATACAAATAGTAAAAAAAAATCTGAGGACGTCTGTAGAGTTTATATGAACAACTACTTACTCACAGAATGCCTCAGACTTGCCATTTGTGCTTATATGTACTACAAAGCACTCACAGTGACTGCCATCACACCCTCACCGCAGTGAGGAGTGATGTCTAAAACTGTTTTCCAAAGCAGATACACCACTTATGAATCACAGGAAGGTCAGCGCCTATATGTTCTCCATCCCATGCAGCAATGCACACACAGAAGGGGTCTGTTGAATGACGACATCTGCATGGAGAAACGAGAGGAATTGGCTGGAGGTGGACAGTGTCAAGGCGGAGCAGCAAGTTTGTGTCAATTTCAACTTTTCCTGCACAGACTGGTGCAAAAAGTTCCTTGGAGACAAAAAGGTCTTGGATGCAGCCAGGAATAATCAGAAGTATTGCATATAGAGTACACTAATTGGTGAGTACACTAATCTTATGTGTTATTTCCCAAACAGCCGCACCAGCACTTTCTGACCCAAAGAGCGATCAGCGTACAATTCATTAAAACGTCTTCCAAGTCTCAATGTGGTCTAGTGCAAAATTAGCTGGAATCGCAATATTTTGTTCAAGTGAATTGTGACAGAATAATGTTTTGAAATAAGTTCTTTGGTATCGCAAAGATAACGGCACTTAATATCCTTACTACTACACGTTAATTATTACACTTACTTTTGTTTGGAATCAAAATCATACAGTTGAATTTTCCTTAAAAGAAAACTTTGAAAACGTTGTTGTCGATTGTATTTCGATTGTAAGTGGAAATATGCAGGTCAGTAATAGCTGTGAATGACTGAACAGCTAAAATAAGAGGAATATATATGTATTTATTTTTGACGGATAGACGGACAAGCAGATGATGATGGAAGCCTAACTCCTGGCCACAACCCCGCGTAAATTACAAATCCCCCTCTAAGCTCAACCAGAGAGACCAGCCACTTTGCTTTTTCAACTTGGATCTAGCATCTGGGTTTCAAACTGGGGGGGAAGAGTATGGTCGTCCTCCAATCAGAGGAATAGCGGTTCGATATCAGTGTGTGTTGGTTAAAGACCAACTCAAAAGCCCCACAAAATGTCACACAATGAATTATTTTGGATAAAATGTGCCTGTTGTGTCCTCACCGCAGTCCTGTGTGCGTCGCAGCTGGGTAGTGTAGAGTATTAGAAATAACGACTGACGCTAGGGTTCAGAAATGAAGAAAATGCATTTAGTGTACACCAGAATACAGCCATTGATTCTGGAACTATGTAATCAATAAAACAATGAATATTGTAAAACCACTGTAATTTTGAAACTTCAACCGCTTATCCGGGATCGGGCCTGCTCCAGCAGGGGACCCCAAACTTCCACATCTACTGGGGGATCCCAAGGTGTTCCCAGGCCAGTGCAGAGATATAATCTCTCCACCTTGTCCTGGGTCTTCCCCAGACAAAAAGTCTATTCCAAGGTACTGAAAAAGAGGGTTCGGCCGATAGTGGAACCAAGGATTGAAGAGGAACAATGCGGTGTTTGTCCTGGCCGTGAAACGACGGACCAGCTCTTTACTCTCTCATGGAGGGGCCTGCGAGTATGCTCATCCAGTCTACATGTGTTTTGTGGACCTGGAGAAGGCGTACGACCGAGTCCCCCGAGAGATAATTTGGGAGGTGCTGCGGGAGTAGGGGATCCTACTTGGGGCCATCCAATCCCTGTGCGCCCGAAGCGAGAGCTGTGTCCGGGTGCTCGGCAGGAAGTCGGAGGCGTTTCTGGTGGGGGTTGGCCTTCCCCATGGTTGCGCCTTGTCACCAATGTTGTGGACATGGTTCTCATTAGCACATAGCTAACTAGCCAGCTAAACATCCCGGTGTAGAAGTCTCTACAGAAGCATCATATGTGCGGCTTCCCTTTCCTTTCACGCTGGTCCGTTGTCCGATTATGAGGTCAGGCTGATCTGGGTCCAAAAACTAGCGCTAAAACAGTTTTCCAGCAAGGTTGGGTTCGGGTCGGGTCTTCTTGAAGGACACTGCCGGTGGTTGCTCTTGTTATGTCGATAAACGGCGCGTGGGAGACTCATCCTCACGAAGGGCGAGCCCAAATCTCAATGTATTTTAGGACGCTGAAATGATAATGTCACTCGTTAAACTTTGTGGCTAAACTGCTTCTTAGACCGAACCCAGCTGAGCCAAGCGGAGAGGACACGCAGGAAGAGTTTATAACGTGGAAGGACAGGGCTCGTTGGTGGGGAGCAGAGCAGCTGACCTGCCCACAGATGGCAGGGTGACGGTGTAATGCGTGTCGGTGCCTGCAGGTGGCGGCTGCAGCCCTGCGGACCGCCGATGGGAGGAGGCTCTGGGGCTTTGCGGTCGGAGTGAAGGCTCAGCCGCGGTCAGCGTTTTCTCTCACCCGATCCACGCTTCTTGGGTTCAGCTCGGACTTGTGCAAACACACCTGCGGATTTTCTCTCCAGAGAGGAGGCGACGCAGGGAAGGAAACCGACCAAAGCGACGTAAGATCGATCAGATTAAGTTCCATGTGTCTCTGTCTCTTTAAGCGCGATGCTTGACGTGAGTGTGGCGGCGTCGCGCAGAGAAGCAGGATTCCTCTCGAAGACAACAACCTGCACGATACGTGTAACGTGGACGTCTTAGTAAACGCTGCTGTCTAACGTGTAGTTACACACACGCAGCAAAGTCAGCAACGCTGAAGCTGTCGTGTAGTTGGATAACATGACACACACACACACGAACACACACACACGTTTGCTTGTTGCTGATGTTGGCTGGTTTTGTTTAACACCTCTATGCCCTTTGTATCATCACCTTCAACGATTCATTTTCATCAACAATGACATCATACATGCGTTGTGATTTGGGGTCTAAACATGTCACACACATCTGTGTAGAATGTCTTCACGTTGATGTCCACTGAGCAGGTCAGTTCTAACTTTCTGAGGGTCTTTCTGTCTCTCTGTGCCTTTCTTAGATCCAGTGATGAGCGGCTGCGTTTGTGGCTTCAGATACGATACGTCGGGACATTCTGGATGAACGAAACGTCTCAGATCCCCTGCTGTGATGGAGAATCCCAGCCTGCTGTCCCTCGCTGTGGCTTTGTTGGCTTTCCTGAGCTCAAGTTCCACAAAACTGACACCCAGAGTTTCCTTCCCTACGGGTGTGTATTGTTTTATCCTTTTACAAATCTAAACATACTTAAAAGTGTCTGTGTTAGTAGCGCAGCTTTGGAAAGTCAAGTGTTTGAAGTGTTGGTGGGAGGATGATAATCAGCATGTCCAGTTGGAGGTCTCATGAGACACGGACAGCTGTTTTAGCACCTGTGAAGGAGATTTCTCAACTCTGGAATTGGTGCTAGCAATAGTCCACATCAGGCCTTCAGACCTTTTTAGGCCAGCATCCCCTTCTACCTCCCGCCTGTGTTCATACCTCAATCCCCCACACTTACAAAGAGAACCTGCGCTGCATGAAAATTGGACTAATTACAGAACAGTTTGCACTCAGTGTTTGTGTACAATATTCAATCAGCTGTTAAATGTGCAACATTGTGACATATTAATCCTGACAAAAACAAACTAGTGTCAATAACTTCCAGTTACCAATAAGGATGGTGAGGCACATTAGTTGACCATACAGCATTACCATTACATACAAATGTGTACTTACACATAACGACTGATCACCTCAGGTAGTTCACCTCTCGCTAGTTGTGCGTGGACGGAACTGCCGTGCGCAGCGAGAAGTGAGGCAATTGTATGAGGTGAAAAGTGAAATGACACAAAAATATACATATATATTTTTCCTTTTTGTGGTGCGGCCCGGTGGGGGACCCCCTAGGGGACCCTGCCTTAAGGGGTCCGTTTGCCGCTCACCGCCCTTGTGTTTAACACGTGGAGGAATTCCTCTGTAGGTCACGCCTCTGTTGGTTTTACTTCCAATGCAAAAAGCTTCCTCATCTTGAGCTACCGTCTCGCTTCCTCTGATCTAACTGACTGCAACTAGCGGCTCTTTTGTTTCTGGGGTCAATTTTGTTTACTCGTTTACTAAAGTTGCGTTATTCTCATTTCATAGATTAACACGTTAATGTTGACACCACTATTATTTTTATAATTCATGTTTCTATTTTGTGTAAACCCCCACTATTATTTTAATATATACACACCATTAGACCACCGTTACATGTTTCTTCTCACGCACCCCGGGGGCTGCCCGCGCCAGACTCCCTGGTTTACATCAAAACACGTGCCGAATAACCAAATATAATGTTTGTGGCTGATAATGATTTACTATAGCATATGACCAAATTAAACTTATTCTACATGCTCAGTGATATTTGACATTTCAATAAATCTTTCTGTGCAGTTTCTTACAGTGTGCTTACATGTAGCTTATTCTAATTGTCTGTGCTTTTCAATTGCATGAAATAAGTAATAAATGACTTTTGTTTACTGCTGTTTACCAGGTATTCCTGGAAGACATCTCACTCGCTTCAGTGGCCATGATGTCAGCAACACCACCACACTGCTGCTCAGTGACAGTGGAGACATGCTGTATGTCGGATCCCGGAATGCTGTGTTAGCACTGGATGTTAGCCACAAGGATGCTATCATACTGAGGAGTAAGGTGGGGGAGCAACGACTTATAACCTACATTTAGATTCATCAGTATATATCTTACTTAGATCTTACATTTATAGAACTCAAACAACTAGATACTATACTTTTGGAGGCAAATAAAGGAGATGAAAAGCAGGTGAACTGTCAGCTGATGAGCTGAATTATTACCTGAAGAGTTCAAACTGAAAGCAGATGAACTGTCAGCTGAACAGTAAGAGCTGAGAGCAAGCGAACTTCTCAGCTGACCGGTGAGAGCTTAGATCAGCTGAACCCTCAGCTGCAGAGTAAGAGCCTAAAGCAGCTCATCTGTCAATCTAAGTCTAATCCATCAAGTAGTTCCTGTCACTTAACAATTCAGCACTGAAAGGGAGCGCTAAGAAGAGAACGCAGCTATAAGTACTCTTAAAGGGGAAGAGAAGTGTTCTCACCCAACAGCAATATTGTAAAGACCTATTACATTTTGAGGAATTACTTTTATTCTTATTATTTTCTAAAGTTTTTTGCCTCTTTGTGGGCTTCGTCATATGCCAAAATATGTTAAATTTAACATGCACATCAAGATTTGTGAAAACGGTTAAAAGGGTCTCTGTAGCGCCTCCTATAAATGTTCTTACATTGAAAAGGCCCACTTTTTGCCCCCTATGACTGATTGACTTGAAATGTGGCCGCGACGATAAGAGCTGTTAGAATTCTCTAATGCTGAGGAAAGGAGCTTGAATGCTTCTTTACTTCGCTCCTTCAGCGTAGCAACCACTGGACCATCCTTTACCAGAGGGAGGGCGCTAAGTTAGCCCCACAATCCTTATTTCAATATTAGTGACGCATCATTTGGCCGTTGACGAGAATCTTGATCGAGAAACACAGATCATGTAAGCAACTGTTAGCATAACTCAATATATTGCAACCTTGTTAATAGTAATTTGTACTTTGAACCTGGTTGTTTGTCGTCTGCATGACACTGTAACAAACAGACGAAGGAATCTGAGATGCTGCTTTAGTCCATCTTTGGAGTAATTGTTGTTTGGCCGCTGCAGACCGACGTCTTTAACATGCGTCTCCCGTCGCATCAGAACTACGTAGCTTAGCGAAAGCGTTTTTCTTTTCCTAACTCCTCATGAATTCTCTCCATCTCTCCTTGACCCCGTGACACCAGGAAAAAGAAGTTGGTTTAACTCAGCCTCACATGATCTACCAGTCGTGACCTCCATCTGGTCACATTTAATCCTAGTGGCAACAGAGGTTACTTGTTTATTACGTTATAACCAGTGTTGGGCCAGTTACTGAAAATGAGTATTTAGTTACAGTTACTAGTTACTTCTTTTAAAGGTAATTGAATTACTTACCAGTTACTGGGTATCAAAAGTAATTAGTTACTCTGGAAAGTAACTTTTAAGTTACTTTTATGTCTGCTTTTTAAATGTAATGAATATAAATAGTACTGAACAGTCAAACACAATAAACATATTTTTTAGACCTGTTTATTGTAATCAACAGGGCAACAGGCCTTCAAATCGAGCAATAGTACACAAGTCCTTTTTAATACTTAATACAAAATAACAGTTTGCGGCGTTTGCCTGAAGGCAACGGACTCGACAGTTGACAGGATGCATCTCATCTCCAACACAGCGAGCGATCAATCTGTTCAGCTCTGCCTGGCTTATCGGCTGCACTGCAGTCCGTGTGAAGTGGAGCCCTGGTTGTTTGCGTGGAGCAGCGCCTGCAGCATCCGCGGGGCGGCGCTCTGTCGGCATGAGCGACGCGATGCTGTTTACGTGCACGTACGCCGACTATTCTGTGACGCACAACGTTTGGTGGCCACAACTGTTTAGTGCTGACAGGCAGCTGTTTACTTACTATTGGCCGGCCCTCCGCTTCGCGTCACAAAAGAGAGTAACGCGAGTAACGAACTCATTTCAATTTCAGTAATTCTAACTGCTTTCATTTATTTAAAAAAATACTTCGTTACATGCTCGTTAACGCTAAAAGTAGTGGGATTACAGTAACTCCCAACCCTGGTTATAACCTGCTCCTCACAGATTAATCAGATCCCTCGCAAAAGTTGTCAGAATACACTTACGGCCTTCATCATATTTCACTGTAAATATTGTAAGAATTCGTCCCGGCGAGTCAGAGCATCAGCGAAGTTGATCCTTCGCCAAGAACGAATAAACCATGTGCCTCCACATGATCAGATCCTTTCCTATTTCCACATGTTTGATGAAACCTGACCAGACAATTTTGAATCATAGTCATAACGTCACCTGCTGGTATCAGGAAGTAAAAGTTTGCATACTTTGGCTTGCTTCTCTCAGTAGGTAAATCACATCGACATCCAACTTATTCCACGCAAACATAAGACTGTCCTGATGCCCCTGTAGCATTTTATGTTTCGTCTAACGTTGCCGTGGCAACCCGTTCTTCGCAGTAAACAACAAAGGTGCTTTTGAGGGACTAAATATACGCAAATTGTAACTAAACACATTGAAAGTCAAAGATGTAGTTACTTGATATGATTTTAATGCTTCAAAATGGTAGCAATATGTAAGACATGTAAACTGAAAACAAAGTATTTGGGACCGTGCTCCAAACCGTGCCAGAAGTAGGCTATTTTTATTTTTCCATTCATTTTTTTGTGCTTTAAAATAACCACCTGCTCCTGTAAATTATCGGATAGACTTCAAAGTGGGTCAGTACAATCTAAAAGCCTTAGTGATTAAAAGTGATCAAAATCTTGTGTGTTTTCCCTTAAACCATCAGATCTACATGTCGTTTATCGTCAGCATCCAAACAGGAATGTGTTATCGGGTCGTCTTGTAGAGCAATGGGTGCCCACAGATGACAGTAATAATCGTCTCCTCCATTTCTAATTCAACAATGTCAACTGTCCTGCCAGGGAGAACAGCGGAGAACCTCAACGCTGTTAGGCTCTTGCGACCCAGCATCTATTGTCACATGTTGTCTACTTGTGTCTTTGCTTTGATTTGATACGTAATAATGTAGTATGGTATCCACCTGGAGTGCAGATCAATAGAAAGATTTGAGCTAATTGTTCATACATTTAAAATACATCTTAAAAACGTAACACTATCAGTATTTTGTGAGTTCACTGATGAAGGTAGGTCTGAAATAGCCATATTTATGAATACTGAATGATTTCATTACACTATCTATCTTCTATGTAAATGTGAGTATTCTACTAAAATGTGAAGAGGTCCAGTTAGAGAAAATCTCAAGAAGCAAAGGTGCCGAAGAGCATAATGTGACTACTTACTTGAATGGAGGAATAGAGTTGTATCAACATGTGCATGTAATTCAATCCCTAACCCAATTCTAAAACTCTTGACAATATTTATTGTCATGTAACAAAGAACTGAACATATATGTGTGACTGCACATGTATATATGTATATGAATATAAATAATGTTCTCTCAATTAAGCTAAATAAAAGTAGGGCTGCATTTAAAAAACAATAAATTGGAATTGAAATAAAATGTTCAAATAAAAAATAAAATAATGGGAAGATAAGCTTGAATTTCCCCTTCTCTGCTTCACATTTGGACTTAACTGTCTCAGAAAATTGTTTTACAAAACACATTTTGTGGGAAGTATGAGCAGAAACTAGTTTGTCCATTATGGATTAAATGCTCTACTTTCACAGTCCACGTTTCTCTTTTTGAAGAGCGCCGTTTGTTCCTCATTTTTCTCACCCTCCCTTTCTATCACTACCCGTCCGAAGAGTCAACCCTCTCCTGAAGAAACCTACCCTCAACCCTTCTGAAGAAAACAACTACAGACCGGTCTCTCTTCTTCCCTTGCGACCTTTAACCAACTCTCCTCCTATCTCCACTGTAACAACCTCCTTGACCCCCACCAGTCAGGCTTTAAGGCCGTTCCACAGAGACTGCTCTCCTCGCTGTCTCAGAACAACTCCACACTGCTAGAGCTCCTCTCACTCCTCTGTCCTCATCCTTCTGGACCTCTCTGCTGCATTTGACACAGTCAACCACCAGATCCTTATTTCCTCCATTCAGGAACTTGGTGTCTCAGGCTCTGCTCTCTCTCTTCTCTCGTCCTACCTCGACGGCCGCACCTACCGGGTAACCTGGAGAGGATCTGTAATCTTACTACTGGAGTTCCTCAGGGTTCCATCCTGGGTCCCCTCCTCTTCTCGCTCTACACCAACTCTCTCGGCGCTGTCATTTGCTTGCATGGCTTCTCCTACCACAGCTATGCCGATGACACCCAACTCTCTCCGTCCCTCACTCGACACCCAGGTGGCGGCACGGATCTCTGCCTGTCTGACTGACATCTCTCAGTGGGTCCGCCCACCATCTGAAAATCAACCCCGACAAGACTGCACTACTTCTCTTTCCGGGAAAAGACTCTCCGACCCATGACTTGATGGTCAGCTTTGGCAACTCTGTGCTGACGCCCACTTTGACCGCAAGGAACCTCGACGTGACACTCGACAGCCAACTTTCGCTGACTCTCCGCTCTGCATCTGATAAACTGCTTGTTCCTCCTCAGTGAGAGCCTTCACATCTTCAGACTAAAGACTCTCCACTAACACACTAACTAACTGTAGCACTTACATTGTACTTGTAACGCCTTATCTATAGCAAATTGTAAATTGGCTTATTTGAGGAAATTACACTTTGTTGTTTCTTGTTCTTCTGAGTTTGTATCCTTATGGTTGAATGCACTTATTGTAAGTCGCTTTGGACAAAAGCGTCAGCTAAATGACATGTAGTGTAACAATATCTATAGTTGTGTAATGGAAAATGTAATTTTATGTGCTGAAGTTTTATTGATGGGTAAGACCGCTCTTCTTCTTTCAGCTGGACTGGAGCCCCTCAGAGAAAGACATTGAGCAATGTTCCATGAAAGGCAAGAAAATGGCAAGTAGTTTATCCTGTGAAGTAATGACACGTCCACGGATCAAACCAACCGCATAAGTTAAGGCTGCCAGTAACACATAACTACCATAGCTACCATTTTCTTAATCAGCAGTAAAAACACAGGAAGTTGCTGTTTAGGTTTGATGAGCAACGTGTCTCATAACGTTTAACAATGAAGCATTTTACTCAATCTAATCATTGCTACTGTATATCTTTGGTTTTAGTGAAACATCTAAATTGATGTCTTTATGTATTTTTTTTAGGCTGACTGCCCCAATTTCATCCGTGTTCTGCAGTTCTTTAACACCACCCACATCTATGCCTGTGGAACGTTTGCCTTCAGTCCACGATGCACCTACATTGTAAGTCCGTTTTTGACAAAAATGTAATATGGTGTTCAACATTCTGACACCATGTTGATGCCCGCTGCTTTATTTCAACAATTGAATTGGCCCAAAACCCACTAAAAGCAGTCGGTTGCATTTAATGTGATGCCATTTAATTTGTCAATACAACTTTCTTCCCTTTCTCTCCAGAACTCTGAGACATTGACAATGAGCCTCAAGGCGGATGAAGGACGGGGTCGCTGCCCCTATGACCCCTACCAGCGCAACACTGCTATCATCGTAGGTAGGTAATGCAGTTACGTAATGGGACAGTGCCGTTACTTTGGGCAAGTTGAAAGAAGAATATAGAATATATCCAGCTGTCTGGATTTGGCAGGAGCGTGTTTTATTATTGGCAAGTATGAAAACTAAATTATTAAAGATGTCAATATAAATCTTATTATTAATAACGGAGCACCACCCTGAGATGAGAGCCCGTTAACCAAACTTAAATGATGTTTCCTAATTGATTTTCACTCAATGTTTCTATATTCAAAGTTCCACATTAAGACTGAACAGTGAAGGTTTGAATTGTAGCTTAGAACACAATATACAGCAATTATCCCAAAACACATGCACAAAGTAGTCACTTAAAACTGTTCTTTAAAGTATCCATCCATCCATCCATCCATCGTCAAACCGCTTATCCTGCACACAGGGTCGCGGGGGGGCTGGAGTCCATCCCAGCCAACTTCAGGCGATAGACAGGGTACATCCTGGATTGGTCGCCAGCCAATCGCAGGGCTACACAGAGACACACAACCATTCACACTCACATTCACACACCTACGGGCAATTTAAAGTCCCCAATTAACCTGATCCCCAGAGCATGTCTTTGGACTGTGGGAGGAAGCCGGAGAACCCGGAGAGAACCCACGCAGACATGGGGAGAACATGCAGACTCCACACAGAAAGGCCACTGGGCGGAAACGATGGGGATCTTCTTGCTGTGAGGCAACAGTGCTAACCACCACGCCACCGTGCCGCCCTCTTTAAAGTATAACAGAGTTTATTCAATTGTAACAACACTCATGTCAATACTATTTAAAATGAACGACGAGCACTATACAATTACTATCTCAAAACAACAAAGAGTAATGTGGTGAAAGTGTGCTTGTGGGTCGGTAGGGAGGGAGGCGAGAAAACAGATGGTTTTGATGAGTTTTATTCTTTTAATATGAACAGTGACGTAAAATCGCTCTTAGTGGAGGCGGTTTGCTTCGAGGAGTATTTATAACAGCACATCATTTGGAAATGATATTTTCCGGGGCATTGGCGTCAGCACGTTGAAATAATAACAATTAAGGAAAAGAAAGGGAAAGAGTGTTGAGATGATTCAGAAGGCACGACGGGAGAAGGTAACAGTACCCTGTCAAACAGGCTGCCAGTTGTTGAGGATTAATTGGTTCATAACATAAAGAAAAAGCTCATTGTGGAATACCTGCCTGTTTTAGACATATTCAATATTTCTTACAGGGAAACCAAACTGTTCGTATTTGAGGGGCGTGAGTTCAAACTGTTTTTGTCAAATTCCGAGTATCTCTTGAGTTTTGTCCTGTTTGTAGATGGAGAACTTTACACGGGGACGGTGGCAGACTACAGGGGGAACCGGCCAGTTATCTCCCGTCACCTAGGCGAAGGCCGCCGCCTGGACCTCAAGTTGGATGATACGTTAGGATGGCTGGAGGGTGAGTGGGTTCAGTCAGATACAAAATGCTCGTAGTCATATATAAGATTTAACCTGTTTGGACGTCAGTTGTTTAGAAAGATGCTCAGCCCTTGATAATTGCTCAGTTCTTGCTTTGATGTGAGGGATGGGAACTTCTCAAAACTGAGAATTAAGAGACAATAGGAAGTAAAACAACAAATGAACATAGGAGGTGGTTCTATAAACCCAGTTTGCCAAATCAACACTTCAAAGCTTTGCAATGGCTTAATTATGAACCACAGTTGTTTATGAAAGTACTGTCATTATTAAAATGACGGATGTCTCAATTATTCTGCTCGTGGTCCCTATCGGACCTTATATTGATCTTATATTGTCAATCTGTCAATAACGATACAATACTTTAATTTCCCTGGAAAATACAGTACATTCAAAATTGATTAGAAATATTTGACCTGTATCCAAGGTGTTGCCTTATTGTTTTCTTTATATGAAATTGCAAACCGTCTGTTTAACTGAGGGAATACCTTTATACCTTTAAAGAGTCCTCCAGTGTTTCCTGTATTCACTTGAGTGTTTATTTTTGGTTCTATGCAGATCTTTTGCATCGATTACATTAGTCAACTGCTCTTATTGGCTTTCTGCTCGCAGTGCTTGTGTTGACTATATAGTTACGTGGTGAGTTTGGTAGGAAACAACTTTTGGATTTGCTGTTTTAGATTTTATTTTATTTAAACAATTTGACTTGTTTCAACAAACCGTGGGAATACTTTGCCATCTATTTTCTGTAGATCCAACCTTCATCAGTTCCAGCTTTATTCCCGACGAGGAGAAAATCTACTTGTTCTTCAGTGAAGTGGGCCGAGAGTATGACTTCATCGACAAATTTATTGTTTCTCGCGTCTCTCAGATCTGCGTGGTAAGTATAAAGACGAGGCGTCATGTAAGCACCACAAACAGCAACCACATTTGTCTTTAGATGAAAGAACAATACTCCTGTAACTGTGCTCCAGTCTTATTCTGACTCCGAGGTAGTCATTACGTTCTATTATGGTTTTATTATTTACGTTTTTGTGACATACACATGACTCACACAATCCTACATTTTCTGTTTCAGATGCATCTAATGTGTACATGCAATATTCTAAAGCATAAATACTCTGTCAAGGCTCAAAACTAGTGTTTTTCTCATCAAAAACTTGTCAAATGGGACCAAAATCCGGCTGTTGGAGAAATCGCGCGCCCTGACTAGGTGGACGGTGTTGTGTCTGAAATACGGTGTGGATCAGGAATCAGGAACATTCATTGCCAAAATATGTCAGACAGACATACAAGGAATTTGACTTGGCGGTTGGTGCATAACATGAGACAGTAAGACAATGGACAACAAGACAGATAAGACAACATAGTGCAAGAAAGACAGTGCAATCGGAATTTAAATTAAAAATAAAAGTTAAAAATAAAAAGTTAAAAATAAAGTGCACCAGCGAACAGAAAGTGACAAATATATGTGCATGTGGAGTGTGACCGGTGGAAAAAGGGATGACTCAGTCAGTCAGTGGGGGACCTGGGCTCTGTTGATGAGACATTACATTACATTACATTACATGTCATTTATCTGACGCTTTTATCCAAAGCGACTTACAATAAGTGCATTTAACCATAAGGATACAAACTCAGGAGAACAAGAAACAAGAAAGTGCAATTTCCTCAAATAAGCCAATTTACAACTTGCTATAGATAAGAACCATTATAAGTCCAATGTAAGTGCTACAGTTAGTGTGTTAGTGGAGGTAGAGTGTGAAGAGGTGTGTCTTTAGTCTGAAGATGTGAAGGCTCTCTGTGGTCCTGATGTCTTCAGAGACCTCCTTCCACCATTTCGGAGCAGGACAGCAAAGAGTGGAGATCTAGTCGAGTGTTTTGCTCTCAGTGAGGAGGAACAAGCAGTTTATCACATGCAGAGCGGAGAGTGCGGGTCGAGATGTCGGGTTGGACCAGGTCCTGGATGTAAGCTGGACCCCATCCATTCACAGCATGGTACGTGAGCACCATGTTTAGAACTGGATGAGCCACCGGTACCAGTGAAGAGAGCGGAGGAGTGGAGGAGTGTGGGAGAACTTAGGTTAAAGACCAGTGGAGCTGCTGCATTCTGGATGAGCTGCAGAGGTGGAATGGTGGTAGCAGGAGACCTGCAGGAGAGAGTTACAGTAGTCCAGGAGGGAGATGACAAGAGCCTGAATCAGTACCTGCGCCGCCTTCTGAGTGAGAAGAGGACGTGTTCTCCTGATGTTGTAGAGCGTGTATCTACAGGATTGTGTTGTCAGTGATGTTGGGAGTCAGGGAGAGTCGGCTGTCGAGTGTCACGCCGAGGTTCCTAGCAGACAAAGTTAACACGGAGTTGCCAAAGTTAAGGGATCACAACCACAACAGTGTTTTTTACTTGATGCCTTCTCCTCTCCTGTCAGAGTGATGTTGGAGGTCAGCGGACTCTGCAGCGACGCTGGACCACTTTTGCCAAGGCTCAGCTGTTGTGCCAGGCTGACAGTGAGCTGCCCTACAACGTGATCCAAGACATAGACACCCTCCCACCAGCAGAGGGAGCGCCTGCAGATGACACACTCTTCTATGGCCTCTTCACCTCCCAGTGGTCAGTTCACTAAAGGGCAATAATCCACACAGCAACCAAGTGCACCCCCTAAACAGTTTGATACACACAAAATGTCCTTAAAGAGGTGTACGGCACTTCACATGTGATCAGAGATGGTGTTCTGCATTCTTTGGTTGTAACGGGTGATTACTTGAGTTCCTATTGCCTTTCTATCATCTGAAACCAGTCTCTGACTTCTCTGACCTCTCACATCAACAAGGCATTTTTGTCCACAGCAGCCGCTCGCTGGATATTTTCTCTTTATTTCTCTTTTTGGGACCATTCTCACAACCTCTGTACGCCCCAGAGATGGTTGTGTGTTGAACCAACTCAACATCACATTCAATTTTGCATTAATATTCTATAGCCGGCGTGTACACTCGTACTGATCTAAGGTGCCACTGATGACATCATCATTCCATTAGTATTATATATTCTTCTAATAATGTGCATAGTGAGTACAATTTTGGTTTTCATAAAGTGGGGGAAAGGCTGTATTTATTGGTTTATTCCATAACGAAAGTTACACAGACAAACAGCTTATAATGGAGTACTCTGCACTCTTTAGTCATCTCAGCATAGCCACGTTGCTAGATCACTTTACCAGATTACTTTACTAGATCACTGGATCACTTTACTAGAGCAAAGTGCAGTAATGAAGCCAGTGAAAGCTCTCACACAATTACGCTATACCCTCATTATCAGTCTTAATCTCAATGCCATTAAAAACATGAGTGAATTAATACAACACATACTTTTTAAAAACAATATCCTATTTTATTACATTACATGTCATTTAGCGGACGCTTTTATCCAAAGCGACGTACAATAAGTGCATTCAACCATAGGGTACAAACTCAGGAGAACAAGAAACAAGAAAGTGCAATTTCCTCAAATAAGCCAATTTACAATTTGCTATAGATGAGTGACGTTACAAGTACAATTTAAGTGCTACAATTTGTTAGTCTTTAGTCGAGGTAGAGTCTATTTGTGTCCTGTAAGACACTACTGTAATACTACTGCAGTCGTGGGCGTATTGGGAGGAAACAAGTTCTCAGGGATCCCTTCATCCACAAGCACTTTGATTTCTGGACCAAAAAAAAAAATCTTCAGTTTCCTCTCAGGAGTTGCAGAAATGTACCATAAATAACCCTCAAGCAGCAGCTCGTTGCAGGATATTATCTAGTATACATAGAGCCGGAGCCGGCAGTGCACATCACTGTGTCTTCTGACTGACTTTGTCCTTTCTATTTATCTACACATGTATTAGTCTGCTGTGTACATCATTTGCTCTCATTCATTTTGTCTTTTTTTCTGCATTAACTAGGTCTGTCAATTCTGGACGTTCAGCAGTGTGTTCATTTCGCCTGACCGACATCAAATCAGTTTTCTCTGGTAACTACAAAGTCCTGAACCGGGACACGTTGCAGTGGAGCACACGTGTTCAAGAAAAGGTTGCAAATCCAGGAGAGGTAAATCCAGTTCATATGAGAATGGAACTTTTAAGACAAGATGGGACTTCATCCTGTTGTGCAGCAGTTAAAGTGTTATAAACGTGAGAAGTGTTGAAATAATGCAAAAATCCAAAAAGCCAATTCTAGAAAGGCAGACGTCTGCATGCGCTGCTACAAGGGTGGCAGTGACATTGGGGGGTCTAGACGGAACAGACCTGGGCGGCAGATGTTGGCTCTGGGGACGTGGAACGTAACCTCTCTGGGGGGGAGAGGAGCCGGAGCTTGTGCGGGACGTGAAATGTTATCAGTTAGATCTGGTGGGGCTTACCTCTACGCACAGCCTCGGCTCTGGAACCACACTCCTGGATAGGGGATGGACTCTATTCTACTACTTGCTGCCATATTGAAGAAAAACACCTCCGGTGGAGCTTCTCTGACATTCCTGTGGAGGTAGGGGACATTGAACCAGAGTTGTGTATGTTCAAAACCTCCATTGCTGAAGCCGCGGCAGTGAGTTGTGGCCTCAAGGTCTTAGGTGCATCAAGGGGCGGTAACCCTCAAACCCCGTGGTGGACACCGGTGGTCAGGGAAGCTGACCACAGACTGAAGAAGGAGGCCGACCGTCCGACTCCAGAAGGAGGCCTTCCGGGTTATGATATCCGGTGGGACTCCGGAGGCAGTTGCAGTGTACCGACAGGCTCGAAGGGCAGCAGCCTCTGCCGTGATGGAGGCAAAGCAGCGAGTAAGGGAGAAGTTCGGGGTAACTATGGAGAAGGACTTTCGGTCGGCACCAAAGTGCTTCTGGAAAACCATCCGGCACCTCAGGAGGGGGAAACGGGGAACCATCCAAGCTGTGTACAGTAAGGATGGGACCCTGTTGACCGCAACTGAGGAGGTTATCGGGCAGTGGAAGGAAGACTTTGTGGAACTCCTGAACCCAACTACTACGCCCTCTTTGGTAGAGGCGGAGCTGGAGGCGGAGGAGGGATCATTGTCAATTGGCCTGGTGGAGGTCACTGAGGTAGTCAAACAACTCTGCAGTGGCAAAGCCCCGGGGATTGATGAGATCCGTCCAGAGATGCTAAAAGCAATGGGTGTTGGGGGGCTGTCTTGGATGACACGCCTCTTCAACATTGCGTGGAAGTCTGGGACAGTGCCAAAAGAGTGGCAGACCAGGGTGGTGGTACCCCTCTTAAAAAAGGCGGACCAGAGAGTGTGTGCCAATTACAGGAGTATCACACTACTCAGCCTCCTGGGTAAAGTCTACTCCAAGGTGCTGGAAAAGAGGGTTCGGCCGATAGTCCAACCAAGGATTGAAGAGGAACAATGCGGTTTTCGTCCTGGTCGTGGAACGACGGACCGGCTTTCCGTCGTTCCACCGTCGTTTCCAGGATCATGGAGGGGGCTTGGAAGTATGCTCATCCAGTCTACATATGTTTTGTGGACTTGGAGAAGGCGTATCACTGGGTCCCCTGAGAGAAACTGTGGGAGGTGCTGCAGTACGGCGTGAGGGGGGTTATCATGAGCAGTTCCTTTCCTTCTCCACCTTCTACACTTCTCTTCCCATCATTCTGGTACAAGTGAATGTTTGTCACATCTGTCCATAGGATGTTGTTCCATGACTGTACAGGCTCTTTTAGATGCTTTTGTCAAATTCTAATCTGTTTTCTTCTATTTTTGTGGCTCACCAATGGTTTACATCTCATGGTGAGCCTTCTGTATTTAGTCTGAAGTCTTCTCTTGATTGGTGACTTTGACACAGGTGCGCCGACCTCCTGGAGAGTGGCCAGCTGTTGTAAAGGGTTTTTCATCAGGAAAATAATTCTTTGGTTCGTTTCGATTATTAAGCCTGATGAGGGCTGCCTCCACTGATTGTGGCAGCTCTTTAGACTTCTTATTGAGAGTTGATAGCAACAAATCCAAACACAAATACCACACTTGAAATGAACTCCAGACCTTTTATCAACTCCGTACAAATGAAATAACAAGGGAATAGCACACACCTGGCCATGAAACTGTGCAATCCCTTGGGGGGGCACATACAATAATAAAATGTCTTTCAAATCCATTTTGGTTGTGTACAGGTCCAAAATTATGGTAATGGTGTCAATGTCCAAATATTTATGGAACAACTTTAATCGTGTTCAAATGACTGTGTTACTGTCAACCTTCCTCTATGTGTTAGTGTGGACTGCACAACGCATCTGACAACGCCCTGCGCTTTGTCAAAGAAAACTTCCTGGCAGACGAGAGTGTGCGTCCAGTTGGAAGACGTCTGACTATGTTATCTTCTGAGCACGACTACAGCCATCTGACCGTTCAGAGAGTCCAGGCCGCCAACAGCAGAGACTACACGGTCCTGTTCCTGCTTACAGGTTGGAAGCCTTTCAAAATGTGTCATTGTGGTTACACAAGTAGGAACTTGGAAATTATGACAGAGAGGACGAATTGTCAAAGGAAAGACTGATAACACGTTGGTCACATTTGTTGAGAGAGTGATAGACAATTCTTTAAATTACTATTTGATACAATAATCTCCAAAAGTGAATCTGTGCTGCAGACTGGAATACGATTTTCAACTATATCGATACGACAAGTACAAAAGTACATGGATCCCATTGGTTAAAATATCTCAATAAATTGAAAGAGACGGGTATGTTTGATGCCTGGAGGAACGAGAAAAAGACATAACTCACTATTCAGATACTCACCAGGACTCCAGACTATTACCTGATGAACACTACAGACAGACACAGGGGGAAGATCAGTAGAGATCACAATGCAATTTATTTAACTTTGTAAGAGGGGTTTCTTTGTCAGACTCTTGAGTCCACTGCCCGGTGATCAATTCTCTGTTAGGCAACGTGAGCGGAAAGTCTTTCCCACCGGCAAATGTCTTGCGTTGGTAGAGAACGGGGCATAGAAGTTAATCGCTGTCTCTTCCAGGATCCCGATAACAGGGTAACATTGCTGCGCTTTCACATGTTAGTGTGGTTGAAATATTAAATAGCACTTTATTCTCCCAGTAACAAACAAAGCCTTTACCCCAAATACAATTATTTGTATGTAAAGATGAATTCATTGCAACGGTATAAAAATGTCTGTAGTAACATTTTACGTGATCTAATCAAGCCTTAGCAGGAGATTCTGAAACGTTTCACTCTTGATATTTTATCTGAGAACTCTTGGCATCTCAGACAGTTACCATCAAAATGAAACAACCATCTGTCGGGGACGGTGAACCGTTATTTAGACAAATCAAGTATCATAATTAATCTTCACCTGCTTCATTTTAAAAGCCCGACTAGTTTATCACAGCAGATATACACAAAGTAATCACAGAAGGCTGCTCCTTAAAGTGTAACAAGTTCATTGTACAGGCTAGAAGGCCGTCTTTGTTCACCACCAGCCGCCACAGTGAGACACAACAAACCCTGGGGCCTGAGGATGTGTGTAATAGCATGTTTAAACAGTAGAGCAATGATTATTCAGTATTTTGAGGAGCTCAGCAGCCTCTACTCAGACTATCCCCTTGTTGAACAATAATGTAAACCTTTACACAAAAACATTCTAATCTACTATTTCCCATACATCTAAGACTCATTGTGAGTCAATAAGGTTTGCTGTGTTCCCTCCAGTTGTGCGCTGTAACGCCCGAGCCGGCTCCTTGGGCGTCTACTGCTTAGTGTGATGTGGAGAGGATCCGGCTGTAACTTGGAGTAAAGAGGTTGTTTATCACCGTGTGGTTGCTTTTATACCAAGCTGGCCTCTACCTGCAGTTCCGGTGCTTTCTGTGACAAAAAAAGGGGTTGGCGCAGAGTTGTGGGTGGTTATCGTGTCAGGGGTCTTGGTTGCCAGCTGGTGGCCAAATCCGCATGGTGCATGTCCTAGCACATCAATTTCACCGGAATTTTCTCACTAACTTTCTTTCAGAGTCTGGTTACCTACACAAAGCTGTCCTTCTACAAAGTGGGGCCCACATCATAGAGGAGGTGCAGGTTTTTGAGCAGCCTCAACCTGTCAAGAGTCTGAAGCTCTCCATACCCAAGGTACACGTTTCCTTACAGCATTTTGGATTAGATATGCTTCTTGTCCTCCAAGGGGAAAACGAGGGAGAGCAGATTCAGCTTGGTGCACGGATGTCACAGTGTTAAAGGAATCATGCAGCCCTCAGTCAGAAACTCTTTTCATTGAATTCACCACAGGAGTTTTCAGTCATTCTGTCCGGTGTTCTCAGGTCTGTCTGATTGAGGCGCTCCAAATCAAACTGATGGTACCGAGCAGCCTGCTTAATGTTTTTGGAACATTAATAATAGTTTAAAAGTCGATACTTTCGATGAGTTGATAGGAGTTTAAAAGTCGATACACCCCCCATACTTGGATTGTTGGATTGGATTGTGAAAGACTGTGTTCCACTCATCTTCTAAAATTCTCATCAAGTAGTAAGCATTTTTGAGATCGGATATAGAAAGAATCATAGCAAATTTCAGCTGTCCAGCTGATGGAGTGAAAGAGGTGGGATGCCTGCACCTGTCGATGCACAATCTGAGAAACTTCTTTCTTTCCTACGCAGAAGGAACCTACTCCAGTAAGTGAGGGAGAGGGTCTGGTGATGCCCGCAGCAAGGAATGACCTGTTGTGATGAAGCCATTTTGTAGATCTGTACACAACATCCTCTGTGCCAAAACCGGCACAGGAAAAACCCTTCGATAACCATATCCAGTGTAAAGGCATAAACAGATTATTTGGGATAAAACCTAGAAAGAAGTATTCTTATATTATAGTAAAACTATTACTGTATACTTTTTGATATGTTTTACACTTTAATGAAGTTTCGCAAATAAACTTTTAGGATTTTTCTCAGTGATTTTTTTGTTGATAATAGATTGCACAATAGGTTTTTCACATATGTGTTTCTATGAAGCAACAGCTGCTCTCAAGTTAAAGGGAGCAAAATTCCTTGTAAAGTATTCTAGTCTATTCTATACAGTTCTAACGGTTTTGTTTCTCATTCTGTCCCAATACAGGGAATGATATATGTTGGCACATCTGAGGGTGTAGTACGAGTTCCAACAGCCAACTGCTCTTTCTACTGGACCTGTCCTCAGTGTGTTCTTGCCCGAGACCCCTTTTGTGGCTGGGACCCTGTCAGCAGGGCCTGTGTGGGGGCCTCCAACAGCCGGACCAGCCTGTGAGTACAAAAGGATCATGTTAAAAATGACTTGTATTGTGATACACAGATATATAATACTACTTTTACATTATACAGCATCTTTCGGCATAAAATGAAAAAACAATAAAGGTCTATGTACACTAGGGGTGCCCATTAGGTTGGTCGCCAAGGAAGTGCCGCTTAAACAAAATCACGTCAGGTCACCACGCATGCGCAGTTGACCACTGGAGCTAACGGAAAACTTGGTAGTGCTAATTGTCCTTGCATAATAACGCACACATTTAATTTGATTCAAAAGCAACCCAATGAAAGCCACAATGTTTAAACCAATCATAAATTCCCTTGTTAATGACTCCATCTATTGCATAATTAGGACCCAAACAGTTGGACCTATTTCAATTCTGGCACAGACCAGCAATTGGCGCAATGGAGGCCAGAAGGTGACATGGGTCATTAAAATAGTATCCAGGTTTTGTGCTTGAACTCACAGAGTTTTCCTTTAAATGAAACTGCATTGTCGTGGTGTGGTGCAGAGAACTTTGGTTACTTCCGCTCTTCCGGTGTGCCAAAAGAAAAGAAAGTTGACCCCGAAAAATGAAACCGCCTGCTGCAGGTGTAACAGATGTGTTTACGACATGGAAGACGTCGACTCAGATACTGATCTTTTCAGCATTTATTTGCTCCTGCAGAAGACAATAAAACAAAGACATTGCCTTCTGGTCTCTGCACATCAGCATCCTAGACACAGGGTCTTCTGTGAAGGAAAAACGGGACTCAAGTCTAAATTACAGCTTGTCAAAGATCCAAATCATGACAAAAAGGGGAGAACAACAACCCCAAGTGAACAAAATAAATGTGACAACTTCAAAAATTCCAGCATTAAAACAAAAGAAAACACATACCTGCAGAAGACAATACAACACAGACATTGCCTTCTGGTCTCTGCACATCAGCTCCCTACACACAGGGTCTATAGAGGGGAACGTATACGTCAGGACGACCGGATGTAGCGAGTACAAACGGCGCGAAATTAAACAATGACCAACCGTATACTTTTATCACCACTCCATCGTCTAGAATAATGACGCACCACAGCTGAGAACCGTGGTCATGTTACCCACGCTAATGGTTGCTGATGTTAACAGTTATATTTCAGAACATAGCGAAATAGTGCAACATCATTTTTCCCTCAACTTACCTTCAACAGAGTAACGCTACTGTGAAGGAAAAACGGGACTACGGATGCCTAGGAGGCGCAGGAGGGATGAATCGCAGTTTCCGCAAATTTAACTTGTCAAAATAAAATTCACACACTCAACAAGATTGTTGAATAATAACCACAAATAAGATAGAATACATTGAAAATGACGGTGTATTTCTAACTCTGTTACACAGGCAGTTGGTCAGCTTTTTGCATTGAAAGTAAAACAAACAGAGGCGCGCCATACAGCAGAGAACTTTACAGAGGAATTCCTCGACAACCGTCAAATGATGGAGAGTTGAGAGCACAGCAAAGTGCACGAGGACAATAATTGCTCCCCAGGGAAAAAAAATGTAAAAAGCCATGGGTTAAAAATGCAATGTAAGTCGCTTTGGATAAAAGCGTCAGCTAGATGACCTGTTATGTAATTGAAGTAATTGCCTTCCATGGTTTAACCTCTCTAGAATAAACCGTAAAAGTCATTCAATACAACAAAAGTGAGGGGTTGGATTGTCACTAAAAGGCCCACCTGTTCTAGGCACGAGATGAAAAAAGCATGGACCTGAACCGTGAAATTGGCCAATACATTTCCAAATTACGTTGACCTCTGCTGGATGTCTTCTGAAGTAAAAGGTGACTTAAGGGTTTAAGCTTCATTAGTGGCAATAATATATGTTACAAAGCAACGCTATGTTGCCCAAATGCATGACAGACATTTATGTTTTGAACATTCATTTATTTGGTTCTTTGAGATATTTTTTCAGGAAGTACTTGAAAAATCTCCAACGCACTACTATCGATGAAATATAATTATAAAATTTGAACTAAATGTTGGTATTCCCCAGAACAGATGGGTTAGGGTTTTACAGCAAGTAGACAAATGGTATTTTCTGTCATCTATTTTCTTACCCTATTGCGACACAATCTAAAATGAATTTTTAAGTTGAACTATTGGATTGCCAGCATGAGATCAGGATATCAAGGTAGCTTTTTTGCTGACTGTAGTTCTTCTTCCTCAGATGCCAGGACATAGACAGAGGAAATGTTAAAGAGGCATGCAAGACAGTTTCAATTACGCATAGAGACCGATTTGGTCCAAACAAACTGCCTGCAGGTAAGTGTAACTTATCTCAGTGGCTGGTTACATACTACATAAAAGAAATATTCACATATCATATTTAAACTGTACTTTTCTTCAGAGAAAAGGTATTGTCCACTATGCCACTGAGGCTTAAACTATTTAATCACAACAACTGGCCTGTGTACTTTATTCACCTGAAAAAATTGTTTTGAAATGTTCAGGTGATTATTATTATTATTATTTCTGACCAAGATGAGCACTAAGTTAACATTTTAAAGTGTAAAATGAACTTCTTGGTGGACAAATGTATAGACCCTTGTGATGCTGTCTCTGTTCAACCGTCTGCTTCTCTGTGTGAGGACTTTCTTTGTCAATAAGATTTCTGCCCTTAGACCCTCACTCCGCCAGCATGCCCAGGACCCGCAACTCCTACAGCAAGCTCAGCTGTTTTTCACCAGTTTGAGCCTGTCTCACTTTCTGCACTTACTGAAATAGCTCATCACATACGCCCTGCTAACTGCCCATCAGACAGACATCATTCCATCCCACTTGCTTAAGAAGGTTTTCAGCTCAGTTGGGCCTTTTATTTTGTTTCTTATAAATCTGTGTCTCAGCTCTGGACGTGTCCCAGCCTCCTCCTCAACATGCCATAGTGCAGCCTCTTTTAAAAAGGAAACATTTGGATCCTTTGGTTCTTTCTAATTTCAGGCCAATCTCCAAACTCTCTTTTATCTCCAAGGTCTTGGAGAAAGCTGTTTTTAACCAATTGCAGGAATTCCTGGGTCGTGCAAACATTTGTGAACAGTTTCCGTCTGGTTTTAAGCCTCTTCACAGCACCGAAACAGCTCTTTTAAAAGTTTTTAATGATCTTCTTTTAAACCTTGATTCTGGTAACTGTGCATTTTTTAATGCTATTAGATCTCACAGCAGCATTCGACACAGTGGATCACTCTATCCTCTTGTCCCGCCTCGAGCACTGTGTGGGCACTCTAGAGGCTCTGCTCTAGAGGCTCTGCTCTAGAGTGGTTTAAATCCTACCTTGCAGATAGATCCTTCTGTGTACAATTGGGGAAGTTTTCCTCCTCAGTGGCTCCTCTGACCTGCGGAGTCCCCCAGGGGTCAGTTCTAGGCCCTCTACTGTTCTCCTTGTATATGCTACCCCTGGGATCGATATTTATGAAGCATGGAATCCCTTTCCATTGCTTTGCTGATGATGTGCTAGTGTACTTGCCACTGAAGGCCCCCTCTAAGGAATCCCTTCATGCTGTGTTTAATTGTATGACGGACATTAAAACATGGATGGACCTAAACTTCTTAAAACTAAATGAAAATAAAACAGAGATTGTGCTATTTGGTTGCCCTGACTTGGCCCAGGTCCTTGCCATGTCCCTTGACCCACTAGCACCTTACATTGGTTCCCAGGCCAGAAATCTTGGTGTGATTATTGATGGGGCGTTTAAAAGCAGGTAAGCTCTGTGGTTAAGGCTAGCTTCTTCCAGCTTCGGCTTCTAGCCAAAGTCAAACCCCATCTAAAAAGGGCTGATCATGAAAAAGTCACGACTGGTTTTATATCTTCGCGCTTGGACTATTGCAACCCCCTGTACGTCGGTATCGGCCAGTCTGAACTCAACCGTCTACAGCTTGTGCAGAATGCAGCAGCCCGTCTCCTAACGGGACAAAGAATCATGGGCACATAACGCCAGTGCTTTCCTCTCCACTGGCTTCCGGTTAGGTTCAGAATATTTATCCAGTCTCATTAATGTGCATCAACCCTCCAGAGCCCTGAGGTCAGCTGACCAGTTGCTTCTGAACGTTCCTCGGTCGTTCCTTAAAACGAAAGGAGATCGAGCCTTCGCAGTAGCGGCTCCCAGACTGTGGAACGCTTTACCATCTTCTGTGCGGTCTGCGACGAGCCTTTCTACTTTTAAAACTCGCCTTTAGACCCACTTGTTCACATTGGCCTCTGGCTGAGTTAAGTCACCTGTATTGGATCTTTTATTTGTTTACCTTTTACTGTTTCACAGTTTTTTTCTTGTTTGTTGTTTTACTTTTGCTTGTATTGTATATTGCTGCTGATTATTTTTATTCTGTAAAGCACAGGCTGCCCATTGGCCTTTAAAAGTCCTACATAAATAACATTGACATTGATTTTAGAAAGGACCTCAAATCAAACATTTCTGCTCTGTCATAGTGATTTATCAGCAAAGACGTCCACTTATACGATGTATTGTGCATCTAGTATGCCCAAAGATGTCAAGTAACAAAGTACAAATACTTTGTTACCTTTTTCCCCCTTACATTACTTTTACTTTTTTCCAGCACTAAGTCCTCAGCTGGTATTTACTAGGCAGGGACTTTTTTATCCGTTAACTTTGTTCTATCAACTATCATAGAATGATATCTTTGATAACTTTGGTTCTATCAACTCACCGTTTGGAAGAGATTTAAAATGAAAATGTCCACGTAGGAGTACCCGTCTCCATTTTTCTGTCCCTGTTTCTGTTTTGCAGCAACAATTTAAATCTCGCCCCCCAATGCTCTCTTTGGCTGACACCCCTTTCCTTGCCCTGCACCCTGTTTCATAATAGCCTTTGCCTGCCTGCACTAGTGGGTGTGTTTTTAATCACACTTTTTTCTCGAGGATTGGACACACTTGGGCGTGGAGTATAAGCAAGGGGAGATGATACGTTTTTTTAGCAGTTTTTGTCTTGTTGGTGTTTGTGTAAGGGTCATGAATTTCCTTCCTGGTCAACACATTCTTTGGCGAGTTTGATTGTTGTGTGCAGCTTTCTTGATATTGCATGATGCTAGGTAGAGACATGTGGTATGATCTCGGTGAGTAATCTGTATGTCAACTTCGTCCTGTAGGAGAACTGGTGTCTGTGTCCCTGAATGAAGTGGTACGGCTACAGTGTCCTGCAGCTTCGCAGCTCTCCCAGCAGCTCTGGGAGCGTCCAAACAGCCGGCTGCCTTCAGACTTGTACCTACACCTGGAGGATGGGAGTCTGAGCTTTGTGGCATCCCCCGCCACACTGGGTCATTACCTCTGCCTGTCCACTGAGAACGGCTACCAACAAACTATGGCCATCTTTCATGTCAAACAGAAGAGCACCCCCTTGACTCAAATTCCAAACATCTACACCTGGCCTGAGGCCCATCGCATAGCCACCACAAAGAGTGTGGCCAGGACAGGTCCTGAACTACACACCTCTGTGGGGACCTGGCCTAAAACAATAGAAACAAGACAAGGAGAGACTGAGGAAACATTGTCTAGCAGTCAAGTCACCACCAGACTACGGAGCAGAAACGTGACCCTGTTGAGAGAGGAATCTTGGCAGAGAGAGCCAGACTTCCGGGACGGAGAGCCCCTCCTGTTGGCCCAAGGCCCCTGCTACCTTAAGGAGCTAGTGGTTGTTTCAGTTCTGCTGGTGCTCTGCCTCAGTCTGCTAATAACCATGCTTCTGTATGGCAGCAGACAGCGCTGTCACAGTCAAACGGCCCCGCAGCCAGTAACTCCAACTAGAGAATGTGACAGAAGGACCCCTGTGGAGCAGGAGGCTCTCAAGGGGAATAGTTTTCTGAGCAAACACAGTGGACATGCTAGTGGACTTGTTTGTAATGGGGTCCTTTCAGGCTCTAATGGGCATTTGCCTAACACCCCTATCTGAACAGTCTCAGATGAGATCAGAGGTGAGGAAAGGACATCCAAGGTACCAGAATTACCAGGGTTCAAGCTCAATGGGAGGCTCTGGTTACACAGCCAACGAAGACAGTTCAAACACTGTGGACTCACAGGTAAGATCTAGATCTAATAGGACGAAAGACAATCTGTTGGACACCAATGCAGACGCATGACTGTTGAAATGGAACTTTTAATTGTTACCAAACACTAAAACACATGTCCACTGTTCTGTCCTCAATTGTTTGCGTTTTCAGCTACGACAATCACAACCACTTGAACTTGAAGGTACTTGCTGATCCAATATAGCTGGTACTTTAAACATTTTTTATAGACCATCGAGGGTTTGATGCAAAACCACTGACTGCCACATATATGCCATATACTGTATATAATATATATGTATGTATGTATATACAGTTTTATGGGACCATTGCATTTTCAAGAATGCTAGATAATGGAGTAATTGGTCAAATATTGTGAACTGAGGTTGTATTTGGTACTTATGGTAAGTATATGTCATATAGTTTGGAGAAACAGACAGTATTAGGAGCTAGGGAACTAAGCAATGTACTTCTGCAAAGAGGTAGTAGCAAAACTTTTTTATTCACCAAAATCAATATTTTGAATATCTGGTGGCAGGGAACTGAACTGAAAGAGAAACTTTTATATGGACTTTTTCTTTTTCATGTGGCTATTAAGAAAGTAAATTTCACTTCAGTTCCGTTCTAACAATTTTCTGATTACTGCATACAGTGAAACTGATTTCACTTTTATTTTAGGTGTCTAAAATACATTTTGCTGTAGCCTCTGTCCACCACATTGCTTTGTGCTCCTGTTTTTATCTCCAAACTCGCAAGCATCACAACTATCTAAGAGATCAATGCTCATCAAACATCTCAGAATCAAACATTACACAGACAGATTGACCAGATATTCCTGTTAATGCGACTCAGCTAATGACGAATAATATATTTAGAGACTTTGAACTTAGGTTCTAAAAGGCCAATGAGTTAGGATCAGTGGACTTATCTTTTCTTTTTTGGATGGTGGTATCACACACATAATAGGAACACGCTTTGGCTATAGTTCACGTGATGCTTATTTCCTTTGCATCATACACACTGGGCCATTTGGACACAGTAAACATGTCTCCATAACCTGTGGTGACACAATGCACAACTCAGTGTTTTTACATGCAGTTCAATAAAGAGGATACTGTCAGCTTTCTTCTTGTGTCACTTTAACTGCGACTGCACCATATTGTGGTTCATCTCATTGGTTTGTGGAGGTTTTGAAGCCTCCAGTGACCTTATATGTCTCTGGTAGAGACCTGTCAATCAGCGAGTAACCCCGCCCTAAAGCATGCCCCGCTTCATGGAGGGAACATACACAGAGAGGAGGAAACTACCTGAATGACAGTGTGGGGGCTTTCAGAGGAAAAGCCTGCCCGATTCCAGAGGGGGAACCCGGACAGCCTGACACACCCTGAGCGAGTGTATGTCTCTGAAGACCTGGTGCTGATCACACCGCCACCTGCACACAGACAGGTGGACCATTTTAAAGGCAGTGTTTCCCAGCATGGGGGGGGGGGGGACAATGATAATAATGATAATTAAAAAATGTGAAACATTTGTTGTTGCTCTTATTTCTCCACGCACAGCAGTTCCACACTGACATTAATATTCCTCGATAAGACCGTGTGAGAGCACCACTTGGATGGAGACAAGAGGATTAAATATTGGTGAATATTAAGAATCTCAACCAGAGCAAAGTCCGCCATCTTGTCAGCCATCGGCCGCCCACAGTCTGAGCAGCTTCCTCCTTCAGCATCCTGCTGCTGACACACACACACGAGGTACGCTTGAAACACACAGACCAGAACCTCTCAGATCATTGTGTGACACGTGAACTAACTCGCTGAGACGCAAACACAAAGTAACTACCCGCTGGAGGCAGAAATAGAACTACATGTGACTTAAAGCTTAAACTAACATTGATTCTCCAACAACTACAGATAAGAACCTCAACCACCGCTTTAACATAGAAATTAGATCACGTGACTGCACGGCTGCAGGAGCAGGCGTCAACCTTGGCGCTCTGGGCCTCAACAGCTTGCAGCCTGATGGCGAGGCCGGCTAGTTTTTCTTCTCTCTGACTCAAGGATCCAGCTGTGGTGTCTGCTGCTGTGGAGGCGAGGCTTCGACATCTTCTGGTAAAATGTTATTATTTTAATTTATTGGGGGGGAAACAAGGAAAAACACACACACGCGCACACTGGAACTGGTCACACTGGGAACACTTGATGTGCAACCAGTAACGGAAAAATTGTTCTAGATCATCAAATCTTTAAACTAAACCCGATTGGATTGAGCTGAGGGAACAGGAAGTGGTGCACTGACAGGATCTGCGCTCATCTCACCGGCGGCAGACATGACTGAGGGACGGAGACAGAAAGGTAGACAACTGATCATGTTAATATGACAAAGCTAACTTTAATAATGAAAACTATATTTAGCTTGAAAGGTAAAAAGTGACAGTTTAGTTTGACACCATTAAATTAACGATTTGTTAATAATATTGAATTGATCTTTTTCTTTACACAATGAATATTTACAAATATGCTGCGTTTTTAGAAATAGCAGAAAGTCACAGTGAAAAAGAATATATAATCTCCAGATTAATCAATACTCGTTTTACAATCACATCGTAGCTCTGAATCAGAATTAAATCTGAGAGTCTCGCCTCAAAGTCTGCTATCCCCCAAAGAGCGTCCTGGTCCACTTCACTGACTGCACCAGAAATCCATTCGACCAGCAGAATGATGATATATATGTATTCACAGCCTTTGTCATGACACCTTTGCCATGACACTCAAAATTGAGCTCAGGTTCATCCTGTTTCCACTGATCATCCTTGAGATGTTTTGTTACGTCCCCAGAGTTCTGGGTTTGTTTATTAATTACATTACATTACATGTCATGTAGCTGACTCTTTTATCCAAAGCGACTTACAATAAGTGCATTCAACCATAGGGAACAAACTCAGAAGAACAAGAAACAGGAAAGTACAATTTCCTCATTAATGATGACGGTTCGTCTTCCAACAGGACAACGACCCGAAGCACACAGCCAAGATAACAAAGGAGTGGCTTCGGCACAACTCTGTGAATGTCCTTGAGTGGCCCAGCCAGAGCCCTGACTTGAACCCGATTGAAGATCTCTGGAGAGATCTGAAAATGGCTGTGCACCGACGCTCCCCATCCAACCTGATGGACCTTGAACTTCTGCAAAGAAGAATGAGAGAAACGGCCCAGAAATAGGTGTGCCATGCTTGTGGAATCATATCCAAGACTTGAGGCTGTAATTGCTGCCAAAGGTGCTTCAACAAAGTATTGAGCGAAGGCTGTGAATACTCATGTACATGTTATGTTTTCGTTCTTTATTTTTAACAGATTTGCAAAAATTTTCAAAAAGCAGTTTTCACTTTGTCATTATGGGTTGTTGTATGTAGAATGTAGAGGAAAATAATGAATTTAATCAATTTTGGAATAAGGCTGTAACAGGACAAAATGTGGAAAAAGTGAAGCGCTGTGAATACTTTCCGGATGCACTGTACTTGTCCACAAAATGAAGTTAAATAAATATTTGTTTTTATAAATAAATACATTTAAATGTGTACACATTTAAATATTTATTTATGCATTTATTTATTTACACTGATGTCACTTGGGGTCCTTCTTGTATGCCCTTCAGATAAGTGAAGAATTCAAGAGGATAACAACAGTTGGCCTTGAATTGACCTTTCTGGCAAAGCTTGACCAATGCACCCTGAAACTGATGTCCCTGACCCAATCAAAGGGAGGATCCGCAGGCCTCAAGATAAGGTACATTACAGACATGCTTCTTGAGGTATAATGAGTAATTTTATTATGAATAGACCTTTATTTTAATCTGCCTCACAGTTTTTATGTCAAAATGGCTGCTATGAACAAGGTCTATTGTATACTAATACTCCTTTTTTTCATGAATCAGGACAACCGAGATGAAAAGTACAGAGAAATGGCCATTCGCTGCCTCATCTTGGAGAGAAGGAGGAAGACCTTTTCAAACATTACAACGTAAGTAATTGAGTACGCTTTTACGCTTTAAAAAAAAAATTTTGTTTGAACTGCATGTCTCTGTAGCCTTCCTGCTTGGAGATATGGCTGTTTCAATACACCAGCCTCCGCTATGCGTTGAAGTACGTGGTCACCCTGTATTCCCTAATGCACATCACCCTGAAGAGCTTGAACTATGTATTTTATACATCCTAACACCTTTTAATCTCCTTCACAAGGATGTGGAGGAGCTCGACGTAGACCTTTCGATGCAAGTGATGAAGATTGCCATCATTGGTGATGGGCGTCCAACCATCGCAGTCGAGGGAACCGAGATCCTGCAGGGGATTGATGTCGCCAGATCCTGTGCTTTGCTGATGGGAGTAATCTATGCCCTTAACCTTAGCTATCCCAAGCACTTTAAATTTACCTTTGAGGTATTTCAGAAGCTATGTCTTGAGCTTGATGGACAAAAAGCCAGCTCTAAAGTAACAAATCTCAAGTACGGTATTTTCTAGAGTAGACTTGATCGACCATGTGTGAGGGAGAGGCTCACATCACACGCACTCACACAATTCGCTTGTTCTTTCTGAGATAATATTAATACCTACAGTACTGAGTGAAAACCAAATCAGTGTAATCAGAATTGAAAAGGATGGCCTCTGTTCTCTGAGGGTGTTGGTGTTATTTTGAACTTGAACTTGTCTCTTTGGAAATTTTTGCTGGAGTTAATCAGGAGGATGAGAAGTCTGATATTGAGATGAGATGAGAGATGATGCGAGTACTGCCAAAGTTGATTGATAGAAGCTCATTTGATGTTGAAATGTGTCCCTTTAATATACAGCCATCGATCATCTTTTGTTTTAAATCATTTTCATTTGTTCATGTCAAAGGACGGTGATTCATGCACTCGGCTTTACTTTACTATTTTATAACACTTTTCCTCCTCATAGATTTCTGAGTGCATGTTATTTTGTGTCTCAGGAGAATGTAGCCTACACAGTTTGCACAGTTTGAAGGATTTTGAGCCGTGGTTAATTCCTCCCATGACCTTTGCTCTGGGGGTATAGGTGTATTTTGAACTTTATATGCAGTGCCTTCTTTTCCTGGCATTAGTCAGGAGGGTAAACAGTCATATATTGAGAATAAGGATGATGATGTGAGAGTACTGCCAAAGTTGATTGAAAGAAGCTTTGCTCATTTGATGTTGAAATTAGTGCCTTTAATGTACAGCCATCTAATGGTGGTTTAACTTCACTTTATAATACTGTTCCTCCTCATACATTTCTGAGTGCATGTTATTTTGTGTCTCAGGAGAATGTAGCCTACAAATGTGGGTTTTTGCTTTTTTAAGAAATGTGCTACTGTTTATTACAGTTACTGTAATGAAATAAATAAATAAAAATAAAATAAATAATTCTGCCAGCAGTTGGCTTAACTTAAAAATTCTAGTGTAAAACGTTAACATATTTTTTTGAGTTGTCCCAATGTTTCATTTTTTAGAGTGTATGGACATAATTATCTGTTTATATTGTTAATCCCTGCTTGTATTTTATTCCTATATTGCACCAATTCAAATTCCTCTATGTGTAACATATGTGGCAGTAAATGGCTTCTGATTCTGAATATATACATAATCATGTTTTTGTCTTTTAATAGCTTTGCTCAGTTACACTGACATTCCGTCACTCTCTGTGGCGTTCACTAGAGCTTTGTGTAATTTATTTATAGCCCAAACCCAACAGACCTGCTTTACCAAACTGAGAAAACGGAATATCCAGAAAAGGCATTTCCTATATTTCAAATACATCTATTGTAATTTGTTAGATTTTCTGGCAGCATTTTGTATTTTATTTTAAAACATTTATTTTAGGGGTATTTTCTATCAAAATACATTTTGATGTACTTTGGCCCATCTCTGTTGGCGGAGACTCTTAATAGAGGATAATTTCAATATGAGTAAGTATAAGCTCCACTCTTAAGGAAGGTAGGGTCTACCCAATAGGACCAGGCCTGCCTGCAGCCGTGCATGCAGAACTCGCTGCATCATCCCCTGCATCATCCGTGCTGCAGTGTGATCCTGCTCGTGAACACACCCTGCTGCAGCCCGCACAGCACCCGGCGCCCCGGTGGTAGGCTGCACTGACCGAGCAGGGACGGAGAGACGGCGAGCCGCTGGAACATTGCAGAGGTAAGACCGCAGTCTTACTGCATTTCGTCCCACGGAACAAATTAGGACAGGTAACGTTGGCGTGGGACAAAAAGACGTGTCATCGATGCCGAGAGGCGGGCGGGGGGCGTCAGCGTTATCGGAATAGTTTGCGCAGACAAAGAAAGAACGGCGCAGTATTCTAAACAGGCACGTGCCTGTGCACATACATATCGCAGGGCTCGTGCCCTCAGAGCCTCCACCTGTGCTCGAGCTGCCCCTGGAGCTGCGCGCGTCCCACGGCGTCCCTCCGGGCCCGTGCCTACCGGGATGGGTCGGACGACCTTCATTGCGAGGACGCACGAAGCACTGGACGTCTCTAAAGGACGGGCGGTCTGTCAAAAACAAGGACTGTCTGTAATATTTCGCATTGGCTAACTTTGGTAAAGTTGGAAAGGGATTGAAAGATTGAGACTTCACAGATGAATAAATCGGTCGCACACTGCTGTAAAATACAAACCAAAACAAAAGGGCACCCGTCGCCAAAATGATTAAAAATATGAATAATAAAACAAATACATTTAAAATACCCAGTAGGATGTATTCCCCGTCCTTCTGCTTTTGGAGTCTCTTTTCTTGGCATTATGCTGCACATTTTGTAAATGAGATAAATCAACGTTATCAAGAATGCCTTACATCATCTCTATAAAGACGATAACACACACACACACACACACACACACACACACACACACACACACACACACACACACACACACACACACGTTTTTGATGAGTTTAAGTATAAGCAGCATTGCACTAATAATATACCTCACCAGACTGTCATGTAGCTCAACTTCAGACCTAGCTTTCATTTCAATAATTTCAATAAATTAAACAAACCTAGGGAACTTGTGTAATTTGGAACAGTAAAACTGCCTTTAAATTCTCTCTCTCTCCTTAATAAAGGGGACAAACGTCAGTAAACAGCTGGACAAAGATTTGAGTGTTTTGTTCAGATTCAACGAACACCGTCATTACCTGCGTGTCTGACGCTGCAGCCGATTGGTGCTCAGCACTGCACGAGCACGAGGAAGAGGAGGAAAGGAGGAGGAGGAGGAAGGATGAGGAAGGAGGGAGGGGCGGGACTTGTGAGCGGGGTATAGCGGGGCAAAATGCTCACAAGAACTCAAATAAATGCCCCGTCTGATATCGAAACACATTTGGGGGGAATTGATGACGAAGTGTCATTTTTATTCTTAAATATTGATGAATGAAGAAAGAATTGGGCTCCAGCAAAAGGGGCACTTTTCTCAAAAAAAAACAACCTTCAAAACTATAAGGTGACTTTATCACAGTGGCCCTTTGGATTTCCTGACCTCTAGTGCCGCTGTACAGTATTACTTTAAAGAGCACAAGGAAAAACACCGGGAGCACATCACATATTCAAGTGATGCTATGGAAGCTAAATTGTGGAGCTCGTATGGTTTTCTATTCTTTTTTTTTCACTGAATCATTTTGTAAATACTGTTTTCTTATTCTCCATCAGCAGCAGGATGGCTTTTGATGACAAAGATCCAACGCCTGCATTGGGGACCCTTTCCCCGGGCCAACTGCAGTCCCACCTCAAGATGGAGCCAAAGACTCTAGGAGTAAGACGTCAGGCAAAATATCAATGTTTACTTCAAGTTTCACATTAGACACGGAAAGTCTGCTGTTGTGATACACAACCACTTTACTCCCCACTGTGTGAACTATTTCAAACGTTTACTATATCAGTTGCTCTTATAAGTGAGATAGATTTTTACGACCAAACTATAGTGATAGAAATAAACAGTCTTCGGCTATGATACAGACCGTACAAAGAGGATCACTGTTGAAGTGAACATCAAACTCAATGAGCACCTCCTTCTCTCTCAGGCAATCCAGATCGTTATTGGGGCTTTGATTCTCTGTCTGAGCGCCTCTGTGCTGCAGATCCATGAGGTCCACTTTACAGGAGATGTAGCCCTCTTTCTGATAGTTGTCATACAGGTCAGTTTTGGTAAATGTCATGTTGTTATTTCCCACAGCAGAAAATACTGTGTCTAAGTGGTATTGTAACCCACTAGGTGACCTTGTCTGGTTCAGTGTTGGTCCACAGTGGAAGGAAACCTACTCTGTTTTGGGTGAGTATGTATCCACACTGGTCGTAAAAGAGTCGCCGCTCTTTACTGATTTGACCGTTTATTATCGTCCTCCAACGGAACCGTTAAAACTAGAACACACAACACAGCCTCACGCACAAACAACAAGTACAACCGTTCTTTAATATGTTTGAATGTTCATTGGGTAATTTTACAACAGCAAACTTGTTAATAATTAAAAGTAAAAGAGGAAAAACATTTTACTTTAAGTACTCAAAATCACATTTAAATTAAATGTATTATAACTTTGAATGTATGTATGATGATGAATGGTCATTATTGTACACACACAATCACCCTAGAAACACACCAGTACATGTTTGCCTCTATTACACTAATAGCATACAACGAAATGACAGTCAACATTATCTCAAGTATTAGTCTCTCTTGATACCATTACTTATTTTATTATCGTTGTAGAAATTCCGGGCCAATGTGAGACGGAGGATGTATAAAGATTGTTATGCCCTCAAGGGCCAATACATATACAGCACTATCAGCGCCACGGAAAACGTGCAGATGGCGCTCGCGATGACACTTCAGTCTACGTCGTATTTACAAAACCTAAAAAAAAAATCTGGTAATCAGCGCCTTTGTCCGCCTACTATACCGCACAATGCGAGCATTTAAACTCACAACCCAATGGGCCTCCTTCTCTCTTTCTATTATGGATCAGTCAAAACAGCAAAAACTAAAATTCCTATAATAGTTATTTGTATATGTATTGACTCGCAGACTGTGATATTCCCACTGCTGATGCTGTGAATGATCCTGATGCAAATCATTTTAATGTAGCGAGGAGACGCAATGTCATCTTTGATTTCTTCAGTAACATAACATGATGTTACTGATGTAACATGATTTTGTGTTCACTCAGCTGAAAAAGTGTGATTCTTGTGGCATAAATCCTTCTGGATACCAGAGCAATTCCATCATCCAAGTTTTGATGTCTCATTCAAGACATTCTTGAAGTCAAGAAGAAATGAGCACTTCTGTTGTCGTCTTTAGGTGAAATTCGTCCTGGTGCTACACCTCATCAGTGCTGCATTTGCCACAGCTGCTTTGGGTCTCATGTCCAAACATCTACCCTACCGCCAGGACTCTTACCACTGTGAACACTGCCGCAGACTGGAGCTACATGCCGTGGTAATGTCTTGAAGACCTGCACACAGAGGCACCGTAGGAAATGCATTAGATTCAAAGCTTTAACGATCATAAAACAATCCGGGGCATAAGAAACTGGCAAATACTGTCACAGAGCTGTAAACTGAATTGACATGTAGTCATTCATGGTCTATTAAGATTAGGAATATCATCCACAGCAGTAGACTAAAGGATCAGTATTGCTATTGAAATGAGGTAGCCTGTGATCTGTTTAGGGCTTCTTTGCGATGTTTATCTGTTGGAGAAGCGAGTCTTTCCTGGTGCAAGACTGAAACAATGTTTGCAGGACACATACTGTATATTGCTGAACTAAAGTACCACTCTCAGGTTATACTGTTATATTTTGTCTCAATCAGTCTAAAAATACATTTTCCAGTCCATAATCCAGGGAAACAATTAGCACACATGGAATGCATAGTGTGGTGGAGGGGGTTGCAGCAGCGTGGAGATAGAAATGATATACAATACAACAAATACATATATACATGCCATGGGGTCCCACGTGCATGATTATTTGTCATTCAGTAGAGGAGGTAAGCTTTGTAGCAGCCACAAATCTAGATCCCTTAGTAGAATCACATTAATTCATAATTGACATACATGTGAAGAAGAAGACTTCCTTTTTCTTTGTCTTTACTGTCACTGCAGCAACATTGTTTCAGAAAATGCACCGGGCTGATCGAGCAAAAGTGTAAAGTAAGTGATTGACTACTGTTACATCTAATACGTTGGTCAGATAGGCTCTGTTGTCTTGTCGAGTGCATGGATTTCATACCCATATTTTACACTTCTATTTGCTTATGTTCTCATGGGTGTCACAGAAAGAAACTTTGTTCCAACATACATACTCTTGCTGTTCTGTTCTGGATTGTTCTGGCTAGCTCTTGATTGACGGGATCCTGGGCACGCTGGTGATTTTCCTGGTGCTGGAGCTGTTGATTTGCATCACAGCCATGCTGTTTGGACTGACTGTCCTAGCTGCTGGTGGAACCCAGGTGAACTCTCATTTAAAGTATCCAAATAATGCAGGTTTACTAAGGGGTTACAATTAACACAGTGGTAAATGGGCCAGATATTTAGATGTTAACTGACAGGTAAATGTAATAAGGGATTTGGGGGTATGAATAACTAGTTGAAATATAAATGGGTAAATGGGATTGAATGGACTATTATGCATAATAACATCACGTTTCAACCATTGTGCTTAACTTTGTTCTATATGGTCCAAAATCAAAATATTTGCATCCATCCTTTGCACATACACTAACTGACAGGAGAAAAACACTGTCTTTGGGGAGAAAATTGGGAGAAATTCATAAAGGACAGCATATATTTTTTGTATATAAATTATTTAACCTATTTTGTCCTGCTGTGGTGGTTGCGTCATCTGTTATGCTGCGTTCACAACAAAAGGAAATTGAATTATTTGTGCGAGTAGATTCCGTCCAAAGTCAATGCACAGATTTTTAACGGGTGCCGCGGAGGATCTGAAAGGAGCAAAGCAAATAAATCGCCCTCTGTATTTAATGCGAAGCAGATAACGAGAAAAGTCTACCTGTTAAAAAGCTCTCCCAAAACCTAATACTCCCGGGGAACGCCGGAGAGCTCTGGAATGTCTTTGGTGACGGGCAGCGTATGATCAGAAGATGGGGCGGTTCTGTATTTTCAGGACACTTCGTGATAATGTCTTCAGTCTCGTTGCAAATATTGCACTTATGATCCCGTTTTTGGAATCAAAAACCGATTTGAGTTCAGTCCCGTGTGTCTGAATCTTAATCGTGATATTATGAACATTTCCTTTTGTATGACTTTACACTCCCTCAATGCGTCTCTTATTACAGCTTTTGCTTCGACTTTAACTAAAGGAATATTATGGAGCCAAATCCAGTTCAAAAGTTTTGATCATCTGAAAAACAAATGTGGACCTGAAAGTTTTGGTCTTGAACATTGAAAAACAAAATGGACGAAGTATTTTTTAAATTTTTGCCAGCATTAGCTTGATCTTTATAGAGTTTAGCAAAAGGTAGAATCAAAGCACTTTTCCAACTGCTTAGCAGTACACTCCTCCAAATAGTAATAAACAGAACCCTTTCCAAGGCTTTCTCTAGTAACTCCCTAAACAAAGCATAATTGGTCTTTCCCTGGCGCAGTTTATCCACTTCTCTCTATTTTCAGCTCCTGTATTGAGAACTCCTTATGGAGTACGTTTCATTTTTTCATTCTGTCCACATTTTCCGTACTCATGCTCGCCGCCACTTCTTGCACATCTGTGCTTCCCTTTACATCGCCCTCGTCCCATCCTTTGACTTTTGAAGCATCTTAACGGAGCTGGAATAAACTCAATTATATCTTATAGCTCATATATCCTATTTTAATTTTCTTGGGTAAGGCCGTTTCAAACTCAAGCAGCACTGACAAGCTGTCAGTTTTCTTCTTCAATATCAATTTGTTCTGCTGAATCCTCCTGCAATTGATCTATTAACCTTCACGTTTTTACTTTTTTAAGTATGAATAGTTAGTATAACAATAATAACAGTTTAAAAAAAATGTGTGTTGGTGTGTATCCTGCAGGCTCCCAGTAAGAGACCTGTCTATCCTCAGACGCGCCCTCCACTCGTTCAAGCTACGCAGACCCCTCCAGCTGCAGCCGAGGCGTCTCAGGTATTAATTCCACTTAAATTTCAATTTTATGTGTTTGGTATATGTGTTTGAAACACACATTTCTTCTAAAGACTAAATCTCATCAAGTAATGAGTAATCACTTCATGTTTTTTCTTTTTATTTGCACAATTCAAGCAATTCAAAATAAACATTAAAGCTGCAGCGTTGGACGGGTCCTCGCTACTCCACAACTTGGGGCACTGACCGGACGGCTAGAAACGCAGCCGAGAATGCCCGTCGGACAAAGCGTACGAGAGTCAGTTGTCGTTAACCGTGTGGAGCGACGCAAAATGTCATACATTACCAAACTTTCTCTAAAATCTCATTCACCGGTCAACTTCTAATCAATTTAAGATGGGATTTAAAAGGAAACAATCAATAGTTACATGATCACTTCAGGTTGATAGTGCACACTCAGGGATAACCAGGACATTCTGATTTCAAAATTAAAGCGTCTCAAAAATGTTATACATGAGCCAACTTCCTTCAAAATTTTTCATGAGACTATTTCTGGTCAATTTCAGATTAGATTTAAAAGGAAACAATAGTTACATAATTATTTCACTTCAGACTGATAGTACTCATCCCCAAGGTGTCATTCAGAGATAACCAGGACCTTTTGATGTACCATTCCAGAATTAAAGCATCTCAAAATGTCATACATGAGCCAACTTCCCTTAAAAACTTTAACTTTGACTGAGACTTTGCCGATGCTCCCTCTCGCCACAGTTTATTGGATTCTTATAATATTCACAGTGAAGAATAATCAAGGTCTCAAGTCTTTTCTGAGAACTTTTGTAAGGGATCAGATTAAGCCGTGAGTGTTGTGGAAGATTTTTCACAGACAATTGGTAAAGAAGAATAAAGGCTCTGAGTCAAATATGTCTTTCTCCATTTATTTACTTGCAAAGGCAAAAAGGTCAGCTACGTGCTCAGTAAGAACCTTCCTCCTCTCACATTTGGCCAGGCAGGTGGCCTCCAAAAGAACTTGTTCTGTCTCTACAAGAGACTGGCATCTTATCAGTTTGAGACACTCTAGCACAATTATTTTTCATGGCCACACCATCCCAGCACTAAATAACAATCACACAATATGCATTAACATAATATAACACATTTCCCATCTAATATCTAACACAGTCTAATCATAACCATGAGCATCCAGAGATTCTTCATTCCAAAAAACCTTGACCTGTCACAGAACAAAAACTCCCTAAAAATCAATTACAATTACTTATAGGAAACTGCAAGATGTTTAAATCACGCGCCAGAATGTCACATGGATTACTTTTCCCATTACTTACTGAACTTTTCTAGACTGCTTTCTAATCTTTTTGCCAATACAGATAATACTTTTATTCATAATTTCATAACAATTTCTAAATCATTCTTTTATAATCTGATGTCAAAATCCGGTGTCAAGGTGTTAAGTAAAACATTCAACTTTTTATTTCCACCAGTAGGCGCTATGACTAAGGTTAAAAATGATCAAATGGATGTCTGCAGGGTGAGAAATTCATGCTATATGAAAAATATGAAGCAGATTAGATCAAGTATGGCCAAGTTAAAACAACTTCCATTTTCACCAAAATGCTCCCCTACGCACATAGTTTAATATTTCTTCTGGCAAAATGCAATTTTTAGAGCCCAAGGTCTCAAGATCACACTGCGCAAATTTGAAAAGAATCATGATTAATTCCAAGGAGGAGTTCTGTCTTTTACAACTCTAAAAAAATCATAAAAATAGGCTAAAAATGTTGATTTTCAACAATGAATAGCAGCGCCCCCTATTTTTCAAATATGAAAAAATGAAGGTGTGTTCAAGAGTTCAATGTTTACATATGTTACAGTATTGGTGAGAGCAGGCAAATTCATTCTTCAGTTATGTGTCACCCCTTAAAAAGTACCTATATCTTCCCAAAACAATAAGATATCAACACGAGTTGATTCAGGGGGACATTAAACCAATAATGATCCACAGAAGATTTTGTGACAATCGGCCACAGTGTAGAGAAATGACCAAAAATGTTTTTTTCACAAAATTAAAAATGGCGGTAAATCTTGACGTTTTTGTATAGCATGTCCAAGAGCACATGTGTGCCAAATTTCAAGTCGATTGGATAATAAAAAAAAGGGACATTTCTTGATACCCAAATGCGAGACCCCAAAATTCCTCAGAGAAAATATTAATAATTCCATGCAATAGGTTTTCTCTATGACAAGTGCAGGAAGAAGCAAAAAGCCAATCAGGAATCAGGAAACATTTATTGCGAAAATATGTCAAACATACAAGGAATTTGTCCTGGTGGTTGCTGCGTGACAGTAGACACAAAACAGACAATAGACAACAAGACAGCAGTGCACAAGTAATAAAATAAAATAAAATGCAAAAGCAATGGGTTAGTAGACTAAGGCTATGGGTTAGTATAAAATAAGAGAATAAAGTTAAAGTTAAAAATTTAAAATATTTAAAAAGTTAAAAAATATTAAAAATAAAGTGCCCTATCGAACAACTTCAGTGACGAGTGACGACAAAGTAACGAGTGACAACAAAGTGACAAGTGAGAAATGACAGTTAAAGTGACATGTGCAGTATGAAGCAGAGTGACCGATGGAATTTTCTAGTCAGTCAGTGGGGGACCGGGCTCTGTTGATGAGCCCGACTGCCGACGGGAAGAAACTGTTGGTGTGGCGGGAGGTCTTAGTCTTGATGGACCTCAGCCTCCTGCCAGATGGAAGGGGCATTTACAACAGTTTTTATCCGGGGTGAGAGGGGTCGGCCGCGATCTTTTTAGCTCGCTTCAGAGGACTGGAAGCGAACAAGTCCTGCAGGGACGGCAGATTGCAGCCGATCACCCTCTCTGCAGAGCGGATGACACGCTGCAGCCTGCCCTTGTCCTTGGCTGTGGCTGCAGCGTTCCAGACGGTGATGGAGGAGCAGAGGATGGACTCCATGATGGCCGTGTAGAAGTGGACCATCATTGTCTTTGGCAGGTTGAATTTCTTCAGCTGCCTCAGGAAGAACAACCTCTGCTGAGCCTTATTGGTGATGGAGCTGATGTTCAGCTCCCACTTGAGGTCCTGGGTGATTGCAAGCCCAGGAAACGGAAGGAATCCACAATATTGACGGGGGAGTCACACAGGGTGATGGGGGAGGGTCTGTTCCTCCTGAAATCCACAACCATCTCCACTGTCTTCAGAGCGTTGAGCTCCAGGTTGTTCTGACTGCACCACGACACCAGATGGTCAGACTCCCACCTGTAGGCAGACTCGTCCCCACCAGACTGGTGGCTGGAGGTGCAGCTGTTGGTGTACAGGGAGAAGAGCAGAGGGGAAAGAACGCAGCCTTGGTGTTGGGAGGTGTTGAAGATGTCAGTGAACACCGGAGACAGCTGGTCAGCACAATGCTTCAGGGTGTGAGGGGAGAGTCCGGACCGGCTGCCTTACAGGGATTTAGTCTTCTAAAGAGCCGGTTAACGTCTCTCTCCAGAATAGAAAGGGTCGTTGCTGGTGGGGGAGGGGAAGGTGATAATGATGAAGAGGCGTGAGCACCTGATGGGCTGGGGGAGGGAGGGGAGGGGGACTGCAGCAGGTTGGTGGAGCTGTGGGGGATGGGAACAGGACATTGTCTTTCAAATCTGCAGTAGAACTCATTGAGCTCGTCTCCCAGGCGGAGGTCATTCATGGAGTGGGGGGGTTGTTGGCTTGTAGTTAGTGAGGTGTTTGAGGCCTCTCCAAACCGAAGCAGAGTCACTGAGAACGGTTGTTGGAGTTTCTCAGAGTACAGTCGTTTAGCATCTCTCACCGCCTTGCTAAACTTGTATTTTGCCTCTGTGTACAAGTCTTCGTCCCCACTCCTAAATGCCTGATCCTTCTGCAGGCGTAGTGTTCTGAGTTCCGCTGTGAACCAGGTTTGTCGTTGTTGTAACTCACCCTGGTGCATGATGGTACGCAGCTGTCCTCACAGAAGCCGATGTAGGAAGTTACAGCCTCTGTGAACTCATCCAGACTGTCAGTAGCCGTCCTGAAAACATCCCAGTCTGTGCAGTCCCAAAGATGCACGCCCAAAGATCCTCCAGAGCCTCACTGGTCCACTTCTTGAATTCCCTCACCACAGGTTTGCAGAGCTTCAAACTGGGCTTATTTGAAGCTTCCACCTATATACTATTCAAATATTGAAAACAAAACAAAATGTGATTTGTGATAGACAACAAAACAAAAGAAAGAAAAAGAAAGTCATTCGATTTATTCGATTCGACCGTTTGATAATCTCCAGGGCAGAATTCCACCGGGTCATTCGACGGCTGACATCTCCAGATGTTTAGCCAGGACGTTTAGTGGCAACAGTGGTTGTCCTCTTTAGACCATGTGCTGCGCAAGGTAGATGTTGAGATGGAAGTAGCCCAGCAGCTAGATTAGCCTAGCGGTGTGTAAAAAGTGGTCTGTTTGCCACTTACCTCCCTTCTGTCTGTACGCGTGGAGGAATCCCTGCACAGTTCTCCGCTGTATGTCGCCCCTGTTCCAACAGACTGCAGCTAGCGGCGGTTTCGTTTCCGGGGTCAACTTTGTTTACTTCTGGAAAAGTTCAAAAATCTTTTCTGATGTTGATTTTCTAAAGTCCGTAAGAAAACATTTCAGAAAATGTTCGAGAATGAGGCCCAATGTGTTATTTTTATTAATTTGTCGTTTTATTTTGGAGAGCGACAGGGAAAGATCAATCTCCAAAACTAGGACTACTCAGGTCCTTCAGTGCTTCTACAATATGCAGCCCTGTCGGGTTGGCTAGCAAAAGTAGCTTGCTAAAGCTCGATGAAAAACAAAATATTTATACATGGTTTATGCCTTGTAATGATGCATTTGATGGCCTTAGTGCTTTTCTAATATGCTTCAGTATAATGTGCCTGCAGACACCTATGGACGAGCTTTTTTCAGTTCTCAATTTTTTGATTATCATTTTGCGTTTTTTTTGGTCCTGCTGTATGTGATATGTTGATCGTCTTTTATTTTTATGATGTATAGCTTGTGGCTTGCCATTACACATTGTTAACAGTAGTTAGCCACAATAGGATTTGACACAATAGCGCACTAATGACACGTTAACATTCAACATGTTTTATATCCTATGCAAGTAATGTTTACGTTTTACTGCTATCTTCGTGTCAACAGGTGGCTGTAGTTGTGACCGGACCAGACTCAGAGCAGATGGAGGACATCTCAACCCCACCCACTGAACCCCAAGTGGAACCAATAGAATCTGTGACAACACAGCCGTGAACTCTGCAAACACGGCTCACTATGTTATGTCATGGCAGAATGTAAATACGGATGTCACCTGAGAAAAACTGTTCTTGTCAGACTCATTTAGGTCATTAAACTCTTGACCATTATAATGTAAAGGAATATAAGAATTATTGTGGAATTAATAAATGTGTAAGCGATTTGTAAGGGGTAGTCATCCTTTTACTTCTGGCATAACATGATCACAGAATTGTATTAGCACTTCTGCAACTACAGCACTGCATGTATTGCATATATGATATGGATCAATGTAACTAGTTCATGTTGATGTATTCGTCAAATATGTATATCAATAAAAGAATAGAGAAATAAGAATTCAGAAATATAAAAGTGACACACACACAAACAGCCAGATTCTTAGCTTGTAATACGGGGGTCAGGCTCAGATTCTGGACACAAATAGTATGTAGTACAATATATTCACGTATCTTAAGAGTCCATGCATTGTTTGGGCGACTGTGGGTGAGTGGGGAGCACGGTTGTCCTCCAATCAGAGGGTTGCCGGTTCGATCCCAAGCTCTGCTAACCCACATGTTGATGTGTCCTTGGGCAAGACACTTAACCCAACATTGCTCCTGTAGCTACGACTACAGTGTGAGAATGTTAGTTACTGATGTGCAGGTGTCACTGTGTATGGTTCTCCTGTCATCAGTGTATGAATGGGTGTGAATGGGTGAATGATGTCATGTAGTGTTAAAGCGCTTCGAGTGGTCAGAAGACTAGAAAAGCGCAGTCCATTTATGTGCATAATGGTAATACATTTTTTAAGGTTCAGTCACATTGTGTCAGATAATGCATCCTTCGTCAAGACAAAATTAAATGCATCTCTCTATCTGTCATACGCTTCTATTTTTTCAATCCCCAAGCCACAATAACCCTGAAAGAGACATCACAACGTATTCCAGAGCGGGTGAAAAAGAGCATTATAAGTATTTAAGCATAATGCAGCAGTGTCCACTTTTATTTTACAAATAAACCAGAACACCCCCCTGGAGTCCAGACACTGGTGGTGGTGAAGACAGGAAGTTGCTGCAGGCCAATGCTGCCTGGAGTATGACTGAAGGTGGGTTGCATTCGGTTTGATCTGAGATGACAGCTGACAGGACCCGCAGAGAGCACTCTTTAAAAAGCTTTACAACTAGGTTATGGTTGGTCGATTGTTACCCGTGGACCCACGCCGATGTCCGGGCCTAGAGCGTGTTGCAACCTGATCCAATGCCTGGCCCCTGTCTGTCCACCTCGGTTTCCTGCGCCCCCAGGTCCTCTGCCTCGTCCCTCCGCCTGGTCTCTGCATGACCACCAACTCACCAATCATCTGGCCCAGTGCTGTTATAATGCGGTGCTTAATCATAAACACGAGGACACTCTTCCAGGTCTCACCTCACTGGGTTGTAAACTTTAATACATTTTCACGTCGCGTGTACGGTCCATCTTGCTCGGTCTAGTTACAAGGCAGTGTTTCACAATAACAGTCCGTGTGATTCACGGAACTAAACAATAGTTCCTACTTATAGTTCCTATTGTTCCCTGTATTGTTAAGTGCGACATCCCCCGGTGTTGCTCGTTGTCCGCCACTGCTCACCCCGTATGTCGTGCGCAACTGTAACATCTGAGGTTATCCGGGGATTCTTTTTGGGCCTATTGACAGAGGCCGGACACCTTACTGGTATGGCACCTTTATTGATGCAGCAACAAGACGTTTCTCCTTCCCAGAACTCTTCTCTGTGATTATCCTTTCCTCGCCACATTAGTAAACAAGTAACAACTGAGGCCAATTACACCTCATTCCGGGCCTGTTCCCTGAGCCTCTGCAGCTGAGTCTAAACCACGCCCTGCCACCACAAGTACATTATAGTGTAGGATAATTGAATATTAGGTGATATTGCAGGAGGATTGCTCAATAATAATGTGTGGGTGACTCTTGAAAGAGCTGTTTGCCTGTCCTTGAGCATTACACGGTGTCCTGCCATGGGACACTTCCCTCGGCAGAGAGGTTTGATGTTACGGCCGGGGAAATCCAGTCACCGATCCCTGAGAACAAGTTATCAAACTGACGAACGGTTAGCCTCATTCACCTCTGGAAGGGACAGTCATCCAGACACAGTTCCTGTAGAAATAAGGGAAATTCAAGCTGTCTGCGCCTACGGTTGCAATTTTGTACCCAAACACAACGCTGTTTGGTGGTCTGACATGAATAGGACTTCCACATCAGGTACAGAGTCGCTATATCTTCGATGGTTGATATGTAGGAAAAACAATATCGAAATGTTTTCAGGGTGATAAGACACGTCCCCTCTCTGTCACGTCTAGCAGGAAATGAATCATGCCAATTGACCAGAAATGGTCATTGCGTCATTGTGTGTAATGGTGTGTGAACACACCGTTACAAAGCCGACTCGTTCTCAGCAGTGCTCCCCCAAATACGCGTTCTCGTATTTTGGAAATTTATTACGAATGCCAAAAAGGCACCTGAGTGGCAAAAGGTTGCAGAGCAACGCTGCAGCCTCACGACCTCGGACCGAAATAAAGAAAAAATGGTCTGACATCAAAATGGATGCAAAAAAGCGTTTAGCGTGCCATCGCCAAAGTGTCTCTGCCCCGGGTGGGGAAAGGGGACACCGGAGCTGTCCCCTCTGGATGAGAGTCTGGCGGCAATGATTGGGGATCGGGGGACAGGGACTGCTTATTGCGTAGAGAGCGGCGTACGCCTTCTTTTGTACGTACGCAACGTTTATAAATGAGGCCCCAGGTCATAGTTTTGTTTCATCCCAAGCCACGTTGTGGACTCTTTAGTTGTCTTTGTGCCGTTTATCGCTCCCCAGTTCCTTGATTTAGTTTAGAGCCTTTTTTTGTGATGGTTTTGCATTCGTTTACTATTCAGCTCTATGTTTTGCCAGAGCATTTCCCTGTTCATTCCTCTTCGGAGAAGTTTTTTGTTGGGAAATAAAAGCGTCAGCTGAACCTCAACTCTGCGTCCGAGTCCTCCTCCCTACGTGCTCCCTACGTGACACCTTCTTCATTAGTCAATACTCAATAATTGTCTCACCTACCAAACAATGGAGCTGAATTATTTGGGATGGATGTGTTGCGTTTTAAGTTTTTGTCGTGCACAATATCTCATCTTGCTCACAGACATAAAATATGTTTTCTTTCTTACCATTGCTGCTGTAAAATATAAGCTTTTTGTAAACGGTTTCCAATTGGTATGTAGTAAAGAGCAGATAATTTATCTATACCAGGCATTCACACGCAGCTGAGCACTGTGCGTGTGCGTGTGCGTGTGCGTGTGTGTGTGTGTGTGAGTGAGAGAGAGTGTGAGTGGGCGGTGATGATTCAGAAGTCAGATTTCTCACAGGAACAGTCACTTCACTAGAAGCCGAAGCACATTGCAGTTGGCCAGTGTCGGAAGATTTTTGAGAGTTTTTTCCTCTTTGGTAGATATCTGAGGGTATACAAGTATACAAACGCCTTTACTGGATATTTTATTTTGAGATTGTTACAATGTCCAGAGTTACCAATCTATCGAAGCTGCGACAAGAGAGAATGAGGGAGATCAACCTGCGGGTGAGTTGGCATTATGTTCATCATTGAGTATAGCATTAACATCAGATTCACTTTAGGTCCGGCCAACCACTGTGTTTAAATAAGATAGTGACAACAACAGATAATGAGAGACTGCTACTACATAGTGCTCTATAGATTTTTCCTGTCTTTGTTTTTGTCACTTCCTCTTTTTGTCACTTCCCCCCCATCTACATCACTGTCATTGCCTATTTTTGCAATCGCTGTGATAACGCATTTCCTCAATTTGACACAGGGCCGGCTTTTTATGGAAGAGCAAAGGCCTTAAAATGCACACGGGCCCTGAAAGCACTGCATTTACCCTGACACAGGATATCTCTATGTATTTGTGGATGTAGGTGGTGGTGTGTATTCTCACTGGATATTTGACCATATACCAACTGTTGCCATAGAAATGGTCGTGGGTGTTTTTTTTTATAATATTACTGCTTTCTTTGAGAATGTTGTTTGGCTAAAAGGTGTGTGTGGATAAATATACAAAGACTATTGAGTGCAAAATAATATAAAGTGCACAGACGATGGTCACACTAAGGAGCAATTCATCTCACTCCCTCTCTCATGTATATATATATATATATATATATATATATATATATATATATACACCAGTCTGCCTGTTATTTTTGATTTTATATGTATATATAAAACTTCTGCTATTTATAGGAGACATATATAATGATCAATTCAATACGTGTCACATTTTGCGAGATGGGAGCTTGCTCACAATAATATCACCAATTATTACTATGAAAAAACTTCAAACAGACTCTTGAACAAAAAGACATGCAAGTTTAAATCTTTGTCCATTTAGAACAAAATAAATATAAACTCACTAAGGGAAATTGTAGATGTGATCACAAGCCATACCACAAAGCTTTCATTCTGTAAAGTGTTGGCTAAATTGCTTAATCCTGCTGTACAAAAGTAATTTATTAAAAACAATGCCAAAGAGCTAAAGCAGCAATGGCCAGGCGTCATGGAGATGTAGGCAAAATAACAGGCAGACTACAGTCTATGACAACAGTCACAGGTGGTAAGTATTTTTCCCTACAAAGACCAACTTCTGTTTGCAATGAGGGCATGGATCATTTGAAACTATTTTGCATGAAGTGGAAGTGGAACAAGAAGTTGGCAACTGATGCATCATGAGTGAGTGTTCTTTCCCTATTATGCACGCCAAATGCCACACAAAAAGTATAACCTTCCATTACCAATGTAGCTGCATGCTGCACAGAAGGATCCTCATTGTTAGACAGAAATGAGGGTTTCAATGTTCATTTGAAGGGGACAGCATTATTCCAACATTAATCTCTCATAAACAAAATTAAACCTATAACTGTGTTATAGAAAAGCACGCCCTGTCAACAAACACATCTTTGGATGCCTACTTGATGCCAGAGCACCACAGACCCCCTGACAGATACCACGGTGTTTCCTGGAACTTCCCAATCGCATAAGGGAGATCCCGACCCTTAATAATGATAAACTACTGAAGATACTTTATCAATAACCTTTTCATACCAAGCAAAGACATACATGCATCCATACTGTGGACAGCAAAGTGGAGCGGAGTGAACAGAAAGAATGAACTGGAGAAGGAGGAAGGGGAGTACCTAGACCTGGGGATGAGCTCATGTAGATTCGACAGTCAACATGGACACATGCAGGTTTTTCTTGTGTACAATTTTGGCTGTTTAAAATGTCTTGTTCAGCATTTTGTTACACTTAGCTTCAACCTTCTGTGTCACTTTGGCTGCGGAAGCTGAGATTGCAACGACCAAAATGCTGAGGATTCAAAACTAGTCCACAATCAATTTGGTGCCACATAGTTCCTCAAACTGGAACAACAACTACTAACTGCCACCATTTAGCAAACACCTGTTTGCAATAACAGCGGTTGTGCTGTCCTTGCTGAAAGTTGTTGGAAGAAAAACGTTTTTCTAGCTATACAGCCAGCTTGACATATATTTTCCAGCACCGTATTCTCCAAGGAACAGACGATGGTTGTGTTAGCAGGCTTAAATGCAGGAAAATGTGGATTTGTAAAACTGAAAAGAGCACAATACAAAAAGGTAGTCCTGTGGTAAGGCCAAATGATATCTGTCAGAACTTAAGGGCTGGTTAGCGTAAGCCCCTGAACCAGTTCAATACATTTAACCACATATAAAACCACCCAGCGGCGTTTTGTTTGTTAGCAGAAAGAATGTACTGACTATGCAATAAAACATGCATACTGACATCATGACTACATTATAGTGGAACTTAACAAATATCGACATAGGCATGTTAATACAACTCTAAATAGTGGCAAACTTACGGATGAAGACGCTTTGGGGACTCTAAAGCACAGAATTATAAAGATTGACGGCTAAGATGCTAACTTGAGCTACAAGTAAAACCCTGTCACTTGCTCGCTTCCTGCTGGGTGGAGGAAACATCACCAGCCCACATGATACCCGTCAAAGTAGATGGGATAGATGCAGAAGCGTTGGTAGACTCGGGCAGTGTGGTCTCCCTCATACAACCCCACTTTCTGGAACCATCACAGCCGGGGGAGGTGGTGTCGGTCTCCTGCGTCCATGGAGACACTTAAGAGTATCCTACAGGGGTCATCACCCTCACTACAGTTAAGGGCAGCTGTCAGCTGACAGTTTGGGTGGTTCCGCTGGCTGTGAGTAAGCTAACCTCCCTTTGTTTCATAATCAAAGTGCCAGGAGACACACCTGGACCTCATGTCGTCAAGGGGCTACATAAGGAAGATGAAAGGAGTAGTGGGAGAGAAGACAGCTTGGGGAGAAGACCTTGGTAAACCGGATAGCAGCGCTTAAGTTGTGTTTAGGTTTTGCTGGCTGCTGGAATTACCGGAGTGATTTATTTTGTTTCTTTGATTAAAATGTCTCCGAAGACAGCCGCTGCCTCTGCCTCTTGACTGCTGCGCGGCCATTTATTCACTGTCCTCCGTGCCATCCTGTTACACTTACCTAGACGTAAAATCTTCTCTCACTGTGTATGTATCCTAGGACAACTCTGCTGTCTCTGTAGAATTGAATGGTATTTATTTTCAGGTCAATCTCTTTGCTGACTTGTTCTGCAACCTCAACAGCCAATACAGCTGCACATAAATCCACCTGTGTATTGTCAGTTCAGGTTGAGGAGCTAGTTTGGACTTATCAAAGACAAATCTGACTTCACTGTGACCATGTTCATTTGCAACCTTCAGGTAAGCCACTGCTGATATTGCTTTCACAGAGGTATAAGAAAAAACACACAGTTCTGTATTTTGTGCTTTGGAAATCGAGAAAGATGCATATGTGGGTGGGATATGTACCTCCTTCAGTGTAGATAGTGATTCCTGCCATCCTCTCCAATCTTCATATTTGGCCTCAGGGAGACATGCGTCCCATTCTGTGTCTTGGGTCGAAAGCTCTCTGAGGATCAGTCTGCCTTCAATTGTGACTGAAGCCAAAAACCGAGTGGATCAAACAGACTGTTCACTGTTGACAGTACACCTCGACGTGTGAATGTTTTTTTACCCTCGGGCACATGGAATGTGAAAGTGTCCGACATAATATTCCAGCTGACTCCAAGGCTCCATTGAACAGGCGAGTCGTCGGTGGAGAGGTTGAGGTCTTTGATATCCTTTGCTCTTTCCTTTGCCGAGAATGCATCACTTCTGTTCGATTTGAGGTGATCTTGTGCAGCATGATGTTTGACGCAGCCAACATTCTCTGTGTTTGACGTACAACTTCAATGGCCTCAGCTTTGGTTGCAAATGATCTAAGACCATCGTCGACGTAAAAATTTCTCTCAACAAAGTGTCTAGCATCACTGCCATAGCATTACTCTTGGTGCTTTGCTGCCCGCCTCAGACCAAAGATTTCCACCGCCATTCTTCCATTCTTTTCTGAATCTGAGAAGCACTCCAATGAGGCTATTGTTAAGGTCTGGTCCAGAAAGCAACACATCATTCAGTGAGATTCCATCATACTGTGCACTGGAATCAAATACCACACAAATCTGGTCTGGTTTTGGATGGTACACTCCAAAGGTATACCAAGAAGATACCAACATTCTGTCCCTTCTTTGAGTGGTGGTGCAAGCTCAGCATGCTTATTGTCAAGCATTTTTTGCATGAATTCAGTGAAATGCTCTTTCATTCCAGGTTTCTTCTGCAGGTTCTATTTTCGTGGATGGAAGTCTTCATGGTACTGACTGTGTATGCCTTGTGAGCGCCTCCGAGGCATACGTCCCCTATTATGACCCACCCATGGTCTAGCTTCTGTGCATATGGAGCATCGTGAGGGCCGCAGCTTCTGGTGTTGGGATCTCTGCTCTATTATTTGGAATTTCATTACACTCGGTTAGTGCAGGTAGTGGCATGTTCATTTTTCCATCTATGGATTCCACTGTAAATCCACAGGCCTTTCTGGCAGCTGTTTCCACCATTCCTGCACAGGTTATGACACTGCTTCTCTCCTGATGTTGAACATTTCATAAAACTCAGATCTCACTATGCTCACATTGCTCTGGTCTTCTAAAATGGCATACATTTTTAGGTTACGATGACCACTAGGACACACATTCACAATGCAGATCTTTGAGCAGGATTTGCCTTTGAAGTCCTCACCACAAACTTTGGTACACCTTGATGGGCTGCTTTGTCTCCTCCCTCTCCCCACTGTTCTCTGAGGAAGGGAAGAAACTTTGCTGGGACTGTGGAGCAGGACCGTGGTGAAGAGCAGAGAGGTGTTTATCGCTGTGCATTTAATGGGGGTTTCACAGAACTTCACCTGATGAATTGTGGAAGCACGGCAACGAAGGCATATATTGTTCTCTTCCTGTCATCTAAGATCATTTTCCTGAACCCTCTGCATCTCTAAAGAGAGAGGCAGAGCTGTCAACTGATCATCATCTGGGTGGTGAGCTGGGTCAGAGGATGGTAAAAGACTCAGGATAAACCTGGTAAACCCAAACGCGAAGTGTGGGTGAACTGGGAACGTCTGGAGGTGGCCCCTGTGCAAAAGATTTTAACTCACTCCTTTGGCAGAGCTTCTCTCGGATTCCTGTGGAGGTAGTGGACATTGAAAACAAAGTGGTATATGTTACCTCTCTTCAAAAAGGGGGACCGGAGAGTGTGTGCCAAATACAAGGGTATCACACTACACAGCCTCCCTGGTAAACGTCTACTCCAAGGTGCTGAAAAGGAGGGTTCCAACCAATCCCTGTGCCCCCAAACCAAGAGCTAATTTCGGGTGCTCTGCAGTAAGTCAGAGTGATTTAGGTACCTCGGTGTCTTGTTTGCGAGTGAGGGTAAGGTGGAGTGTGAGTTTGGATAATCGGAGCAGCAGGGGTGGTACCAGAGTTGCTTTGCCACACCAATGTAACAAAAATCGAGCTCTGCCAGAAGGCAAAGCTCTCAATCAACCAATCTTCGTTCCTAGAATCACCTATGGTCAATAAGGATGGACTAAAGAACAGGTACAAGCGGCCAAAATGGGTTTCTCCAGGAGGGTGGCTGTATCTCCATTAGAGATAGGGTGAGAAGCTAAGCCATTCGTGAGGAGGTCTGATTAGAACTGCTCCTCCTTTACCTTGGAAGGAGCCAGTTGAGGTGGATTTGGCATCTGATGCCAATGCTGGGAGGATGCCCACGGTTCTAATACCATTGTCAAGTTTGCAGACGACACAACGGTGATTGGCCTCATCAGTGACAACGATGAGTCGGCCTACAGAGAGGAGGTCCAGCACCTGGCGGTATGGTGCGCCGACAACAACCTGCCACTCAACACCAAGAAGACCAAAGAGCTAATTGTGGACTTCCGGAAAAAAACTGGCACACACATCCCCATCCATATCAACGGGACGGTGGTTGAGCGTGTTGCCAGCTTTAAGTTCCTGGGTGTCCACATCTCTGGGGACCTCTCTTGGACCCTCAACACCTCATCCCTGCTAAAGAAAGCACACCAGCGTCCCTTCTCCCTGAGGAGACTGAAGAAGGCCCATCTGTCTCCTCAGATTCTAGAGAATTTCTACCGCTGTACCATAGAGAGCATCCTTACAAACTGCATCTCAGTATGGTATGGCAGCTGCTCTGTCGCGGACCGTAAATCACTGCAGAGGGTGGTGAAAACTGCCCAACGCATCACCGGCTCCTCATTCCCCACCATTGTGGCTGTCCGGAGCAAGAGATGTCCGCGGAGGGCACGTAGCATCGAAAAGGACAGCTCTCACCCCAGCCACATACTGTTTGCCCTCCTCCTCTCTGGGAGGCGCTACAGGGTGCTCCGTTCCCGTACCAGCAGGTTCAGGAACAGGAACTCTGCCCCCCCTGAACTCTGAACTCTGCCCCCCACCCCCACACACACATCTCCCTCAGTGACTGTACTCCCCCCTCCACCCTGGCTTGACTGCCACACACCTTCCTCCAGCCACTGAACATTTGCACTGTTATTGTATATCCATTTCTTACTGTTCATATTGCACAACTATTTCTTACTGTACATATCTATTTATTCACTTATTACACTTTACATATACACATACTCTGCACTTTTTGCTATTTTGCACTTCTCGTTGGATGTTAAACTGCATTTCGTTGCCTCAGTACTTGTACCCTGTGCAATGACAATAAAGTTGAATCTAATCTAATCTAAGACCCAGGACTAGGTGGAAAGATTTTATCTTCACGCTGGCCTGGCAACGCCTTGAGATCTCCCAGTCAGAGCTGGTAGATGTGGCCTGGGAAAGGGAAGTTCAGGATCCCCTGCTGGAACCGTTGCCCTGTGACCCAACCCCGCATAAGCGGATGAGATGAGAGATGTGCTTTTAACCAGATCAACACAACAATCCCGAGGCCCTGATTAAAAGTTAAATCCTTGTTGTTTCATGTTACGCTGTTACAGTGGCAACCCATTCTTCATAGCAAAAAAGCAGTTGCTGTTGAGTGACTAAATATGCTTGAGTCATAACTAAACTGAAAAAACAAACATTTAAAGTTATACTGTAGATGTAGTTTACTCAAATTATTTTAACACTTACAAATAGCAATTTGGCACAATAGCGGCCTCGACACAACTGCAACCGCTCTGATCAAGTTCTTTGCCAGTTGCAGTCTGTTCCTTTGGATTGTTCTGATCCCAGTCAATGCAGAGAAGGAGCTATCACATACAAATGTGTAAACAAAAGGGCAGTAACTGTCCCAGGTCAGGGTGCTCTAGGTTTCCACACACCCAAAACTGTGTGGATGTTGCAAACCTCACCTTGAGCCACAGTCAGAGGACGCTTCCAAGAGTTTGAGAGGTAGCTCTCTGAAATTGTTTTCTCACCCAAACCCGCTGTGCAGATGTCTCCTCCATGTCAGGAAAGGATTAAAAATATTAAATCAAGTTGGTCAAATGTATTTCTATGGCCAACATGACTGGACAGCAGTAATGCCAACCTGCTCCTCTAACCCGTGTAAAAATGAATTCTGAGGTCCGATTTCTCTTTAAAAAGTATTTTTCACATTGAGTCTGTTTTCTTTTTCAGAATAAAGAGAGAGAACACATGAGGGAACGAGAAAAGGCAGCAAGGGAGAGGGAGGCACGTTACAGCAATGGTCACCTCTTTGTGTCATTGACTGTGTCAGGAACCACACTCTGTACAGGCTGCAACAAGAGTATAACTGCCAAGGAGGCGCTCAGCTGCCCTAGTAAGTATGGAGTTAGTGCACATATACAGTGAAAGGTGGGTAAGTTCAGTCACATATTACTTCAGAAAGACTATGAAGATAGCTATACCCTACATTCCCAAATACCAAAACTGCGCGGAAGAAGGTGTGAGTGGGTGGATAAGAAAGAAGACCTAAAAATTCCATTTGGGTCTGTTTGAACCAACTAGTTTAGTTGCTATTCTTAATTCATTTTGAGCCCAACTCTGATTAAAACTGACCAGGTAGTATTGTAACTTTGTTTTGTTTAACGCTAACCACGTGTTTTCAAACCTTGTCTGTAATCTCGAAGAAGATGGAGAGGAGCTATAACATGTTCCTCTTTTTTTTCAGCATGCAATGTTACTATCCACAACCGCTGTCGAGACACTTTGCCAAACTGCGCCAAAATGAAACAGAGGGTAATACACATGCAACACCACAAATCATCATTACTCTGAGTATTTAAAATCTGACAACCTTCAAGTTCTACATACAGATACTGATTATGACCAATTGAAGATAAATAACACAGAAACATTTCACAGTATATCATTAGAGAGTACAAGCACAAGAGTAGAATTCTATGAACAGAAAGTAAACACACAAAGATGACGCAAAAACAGGGGCTGTATGAAGTATTGGAGGACACAATATCAATCATGCCCCAGGCGTGCCCACACTTACGGTTTGTGAGCTACTTTTCAATCAACCTATAGCAAGCTACCTCCTCCCGTCTGCCGGTCCTCCCGACTACCAGTAGTAACGGTAACCAAACGAGCCTCTCATCTGTCAGACGGGAGGGAACCGTCACAACCATTCCATACATTTTAGGTTTGATTAGAGTCAGCCTGGGTTGCTTTTGAATTAAATTAAATGTGTTTGTTAGTAAGCAAGGATCATAATTAGCACTTCCAAGGTTTCTGTGAGCTCCCGCGATCGACCGCGCATGCATGGTGACATGTCATAATTTTTCCGATGGATCCGATGTTAGGATCGGCACTGCCTTGCGGATTGATCAGTTGTTTGCAATCAACCTATAGTTTTAGACTTTTTTTTCTTCCTCAACATTAATATAATTGAAATGTACAATAGTAATTTGTTGTTTCTTTCATAGAACTTGCTTTATACATATGTTGATCCTCTTTACACTTTAAACTATCCAAGGCTAAAATACTGGCATGCGTAATTTAACACCAACAAGCAGCTAATACCATAGCCTTAAGTGCTGACATATAGTACGAGTACATTTACATTCTCATGTGTAAATTAAATCGGTTACATTTTGAGATAAACCTTGTTTGTAGGACAACTGACGAAGGGAAGGCCAGTAGATCTGTTCATAAAATTTCCTCTAGTTTTTTTTAATATGAGATAGGAGCGCTGTTGTTTTTTTAAAGACGGAGTCGATAACTAAATTGTTATGGTATGCAACACAAGATTTCAGAACAAGATATCTCCTAGTGAGACACCCAAGCCTATTTATATATACTTCGTATGGAATGCTATTGTATATGTAACATACTGATTTGTGTCCCTTATTATACAGCAGCAGAAGGTAGCCCTAATGCGGAATAACTCATCTGTACAGAATGTCACGCTCCGCACAAAGAGTGAGAACTTTTCTTACAAACACATAAATATTCATTCTCAAAAATCGTTCTCATTCAGCTATTCCTTTTTTATCTCCTTCTACTGCCATATCCTGTTTGCTTGTCACTCTCCCTTCTGTTGTTCTCCCTTGCTGCAACTCTTTTCTCCACAGCTCCAGGAATGCGTGAACGTCCAAAATCAGCTATCAATCCTTCTGACAGCTTCCGACAGTCCCTGCTTGGATCCCGCCGTGGACGCTCCAGTCTTTGCCTGTCCAAGAGTGTCTCCACCAACAACATTGCAGGGTGAGCCACACTTTTTGCCTGAAGCTACGACAAAGTAATATAAAGGCAGCTCCCGAAGGATAAGGCCTAACCTTGCCCATCCTAACTTTAGTTTTTATTTAAGGACCATTGTTTTCCAGTGGATCATCGTTCATCAGTAAATTATACCTGCGAGTCTTATCCTGGTTTCATATATGTTAATTGCAATGTTTCCATACAGTATGTAAACTGGATATTCCTATCTGTGTATCACATTCATGACCAAACATTGTTGTGGTTATCCCCCAGAGAAATGTTCAACTATAAAGCTAGTCTGTAGACTCTCAGCAAATTAGTTAATTAAATAAATCAATTACAAGATAGTTCCTCAACCCAGTAATTAATGCTAGAATCCAATTCAGCAAACATCCCAGGTCAATTTAATTTTAAACAATTAAGGTATATCATCCATCCATCCATCTTCAACCGCTTATCCAGGGTCGGGTCGCGGGTGCAACAGCTCCAGCACGGGACCCCGAACTTCCCTTTGCTTCTCTCTAGTGCAGAGATATAATCTCGCCACCTAGTCCTGGGTCTTCCCCGGGGCTTCTTCCCAGCTGGACGTGCCTGGATCACCTCCCTAGGGAGGCGCCCAGGGGGCATCCTCACCAGATGCCCAAACCACCTCAACTGGCTCCTTTCGATGCAAAGGAGCAGCGGCTCTACTCCGAGCTCCTCACAAATGGCGGAGCTTCTCACCCTATCTCTAAGGGAGACGCCAGCCACTCTCCTGAGGAAACCCATTTCGGCTGCTTGACCTAGTTTTTTCAGTCATGACCTGTCCTTCATGACCATAGGTGAGGGTAGGAATGAAGATTGACTGGTAGATTTGCGGTAAAGCGAGTGCGATACCGCCCTGCTGCTCCGATTCTCCGGCCAAACTCACACTCCATCTTCCCCTCACTCGTAGATAAGACCTCAAGATACTTGAACTCCTTCACTTGAGGTAAGGACGTGTATATACTGTCTTCCAACCCCTCAGTTTGCTTTTTTACGCTACATGATATTATTTATCTATCCATCCATACACTGGTAACAGTGCCCATCAATAACAAACATTTACACACCGTAGTCATAGCTCAGAAGCAATTTTGGGATTGAGCATCTGGCCTGAGGACACATTGACCGGCCGGCTAGTGGATTTGCGGATCCTATGAATGAATGACCACCTTGCTCTTCACTGAGCCACAGAATACATTTTCAATCTTCATTTATTTTAATTTTAGGTGAGCACGTTCCAATTGGCTTGAGTCCCAGAAGAAAAGTCAGGACATGTTGTATCCAAATGCATACCAGGCAGGCAGTTCATGCCTGTCCTACCAGCTACCAATATGTGTGTGTGTGTGTGTGTGTGTGTGTGTTGTAGGACCTTGAATGACGACTCTCCCCTCGGGCTGCGCAGGATCCTTTCCCAGTCTACAGACTCCCTCAGCTTCAGGACCAGAGCTATGTCAGTGGAGTCGCTCAATGATGACGGTATCACTACTTTCAACCTATACATTACATAGTAAAATGGCTGGGAAATGTGACATTGTGGAGAGAGGTATTGTGTGGCTAGATAAGGTGTGATGTGCAGCAGTGGAAAAGAGGTTTTAATTACTGAATTCCTTTATGGTAAAGTGAGCAGTGTGACAGACAAAGCAAGAGAACTTTGCTGGGTCAAGCCCCATATGTTTTAATGTAGTCTTTGTAATGCTTGCAGCTGTGCTCCCAGTACTGAACTCCCCTTAGGCTGGAAAACTGGGGATAGGCTTGTCAGGTGCCTTTAGATTATTCAGATGATTGAACTTCCTGCACGCTGGGTTTAGCTCTATAACCAGTCGCAAATAAACCACGCTTCATGAGATAATCAACAACTGTATGTCAATTCTGGTCAATGCTTCATTTAATTCTGTATAGTTTATGAAAAAGCTTGGGTTTTAAATTTACTTTTAATTTAATTTTCTTCCTCTGGGCTTAGGGCTTTTACAAAAATGAAAGAGACAAAAAGAGAGAAAGAAGAAAAAGTATAATAAAAACAAAGACAAAAATAGGAAGACATATTTCTTTTGTAGAAACATTTATGGCCAAAATATGTCATACATACAAGGAATTTGACTTGGCGGTTGGTGCGTGACAGTAGACACTATAACAATAGACAACAAGACAGCCGTGCACAAATAATAAAATGAAATGAAATGCTAATGCTATGGGTTAGTAGAATAAGGCTATGGGTTAGTTTAAAATAAGAGAATAAAGTTTTAAAATTAAAAAAAAAATTAAAAATATTTAAAAACTTTAAAAATATTTAAAGAAATTAAAAAATAAAGTGCACTAGCGAACAAGTGACAAAAGTGACGAGTGCAGAATGAAAGAAAGTGACCGGTGGAATGTCAGAGTTAGTCAGTAGGGGACCGGGCTCCACTGATGAGCCCCACTGCAGACGGGAAACTGTGTCTTAGTCCTGATGGACCTCAGCCTCCTGCCAGATGGAAGGAGCACAAAAAGGTTTTGTCCGGGGTGAGTGAGGTTGGCTACGATCTTTTTAGCTTGCTTCAGAGACCTAGAACCGAACAAGTCCTGCAGGGACGGCAGATTGCAGCCGATCACCCTCTCTGCAGAGCGGATGACACGCTGCAGCCTGCCCTTGTCCTTGGCTGTGGCTGCAGCGTACCAGACGGTGATAGAGGAGCAGAGGATGGACTCCATGATGGCCGTGTAGAAGTGGACCATCATCGTCTTTGGCAGGTTGAATTTCTTCAACTGCCTCAGGAAGAACAACATCTGCTGAGCCCTCGTGGTTGTAGAGCTGATGTTTAGCTCCCACTTGAGGTCCTGGGTGATGATGGAGCCCAGGAAACGGAAGGAATCCACAATAGTGACTGGGGAGTCGCACAGGGTGATGGGGGAAGGTGGGGCTCTGTTCCTCTGGAAATCCACAACCATCTCCACTGTCTTTAGAGCGTTGAGCTCCAGGTTGTTCTTTCACAAGTTGTTGTGCACCTCAACAGTGGGACAGTTGAGATCCACTTTTTTGTTGTATTGTATGTGACTGGTTGAGGTAGCGTTCCTATTGAGATGTGATTCAAAATCAAGTTTTTCCACTGTGCAATGTGTATATTGTTCCGTGATTTCCAGTTCATGATAGCAATAGTTATGGCCATGAGGAGTAATCTGCGGTTTATTTCGCAGAGGTTTATTGTTGAAATGTGACAAGGCAGCCCAGGAAAACAGACAATGAACCAGCAGTGTGAACAGATGTCTGACGTGAATCCAATTTTAAACAGTTTTTGCCCAGTGTATACTTTATTAATTGCAAATATAGATTATGTATATTATTGCAGATTTGAGTCCAGAAGTCAAACTCCCATTTTCTGGAGTTACATTTTTTGAGGAGGTGATATTAATTAATTGATTGTACCCAATGTCGGACATCTGAAACAACTGAAGATGTGTTTCAAATGAGTGATGCCTTGAGTGGACCAGTTGCGGAAATTAAGATGTTTATTGTGGCTTGAAGGGTCGGGATTGTTCCATATAAGAGTGAAATTTGAAGGTGCAAAAGTGATGTTTGTGATTTTGTGAAATTTACACCAGGCTGTCAGAGTGTCTGTTTTTTGTAAGTGTTTTCAAACAAGAATGGCATATAATGGCTTGGCTGAGGAAAGGTAGGTCTGAAATCTTAATGTCCTTACCAACTGTGTTCTATATCTAACCATATGTCTGATTGGGGTGGATCCATTTAAGAATGTATTGAAGTTGATTATCATGTGAGTAATGTAAAAAATGTGGGGCCTCAAGTCCTCCTTGTGTTTTATTCTTTGTGTCTTTTTCCAGTAGAATTGATTGATGATTGAGTCGAGATATTTGAACCAGGTGTGGGTGGGTTGAGATGGTGTCATTATGAATAGCATAATGACACCATCTCAACCCACCCACACCTGGTTCAAATATCTCGACTATAATTTATCTTAGAAAGTACTGCCATTTTAACTATAGCTATTCTGCCCATAAATGATAGTGGTAGTTGAATCAAGCAGAGGAGGTTGTCAGTCATCGTTTTCAATAGCGGAGTAAAGTTAAGTGTTAAAGGTTCTGACAACCTAGCGGAAATATTTATTCCTAAATACGTCATGGCACTAGTACGAAAAGGGATAGGTGGTGCATGGGCTGCCCCATCCCAACTATTGCTGTAAAGGGAGGATGGATGATTTATTCCAGTTAATGGAGTGGTCTGAGATATTAGAGAATGAGTGAGGATTTTGGAGGAAAAGCAGTATATCATCTGCATAGAGACTAATCTTGTGATGGATATTACGTGTTTGAATTCCTTTTATATAGGTGATGTAGTGATGGTTTTAATATCTAAATTGATGAGTGAAATAGGACGGTAACTAGATGGAAGAGATGGAACTGTTTGGTTTGAGTAGGAGTGATATACAGGCTGTATTCATGTTGGTTGGAAATGACAAATTTGTTTTATTTCAGTTATCATTTGTTTTTAAAAGTAGAGCTAAAATAAACCTAAAGTGTTTACAGAACTCAGCAGGGAAGTCATCAGGTCCCGGAGCTTTGTTGTTGGGCAAGATTAAGGGCAGTAAAAAGTTTTAACTAAGTTAGTTTGTTCTTGGTTAATCTGTGGTAGATCAATACCGTTAATAAATAAGTTGATGTCTTCCGGATTTGGGTTCTTTTTTGATGAATATAGATTGGCATAAAAACATCTGAAGATTTTATTTATGTCATTGGGTGAATTGGTGAATTCCCTGCTGAGTTGATACTGTTTGTTTGTTAATTTGTTTTGGGTTTCCAATGTTGTGTCACTTGCATTAATGATTTCAAGTCACTTGCTTCATTGTTCCAGTTGAGCTTCTTGTTTTTCTTTCTTCTTTTCATAAATGTCGATTGAGATGATTGTTCCTCTTAAAACTGCTTTCCCTGTTTCCCACAGAAGGGTCGGTGATGATTGGGGGAATTATATATTTCTAGGAACGATGCCCACTCTTTTTTAACTTGTTCAAACCGAGGATCTTGGGCCAGAGACATATTGAAGCGCCATCTAATGACAGGTTTAGGTGTGATAATGCTGTTCCAAACAAAAGTTATAGGGGCATGGTCACTGATAATGATAGGATGGATTTTCGAATTTGGATTACTGCTGGGGAAGTCAATATGTGAGTATGAGTGGTGAATTAAAACCAAATATATATGTTTATAATGCTAAAACGGCCTTCTGGATCAATGATGGTGATGTTGTGAATAAATGAGACTTAAATGAAATGCAGACCCCTCTTTGTTTAATATTGCAATTAACCGAAAATTAGTGAGGAAATTGTGAGGATTCAAATTTGTGGTGGCCTGATTCTAAAAGGTGTGTTTCTTGTACTGCATATGTTTTTAGTTCAGCCAATGATTCAGAACTATTTTGCCTGAGAACAAAAACATGATAACAATAACGCGTACAGAAAGAGACATAAATAGGAGCGTGGAAGCAACAACGTAAGTAACACAATACATAAAACAAAAATACAACGAAATGTGTGAACCAGATTGAGGTTCATCACATCCTCATCGCGGTACAACTGTTCCCCTATGTATCCAGTGATATTATTGCTTTCTTTCCCACATCATGTGTCTACGAATGGGAAACAAAACGTTGTTGCATGATTTCTTGTGGGTATTGATCTTTGGAGACAAAGCCGGAGAGTTTGTTTTCAATGGACATGAGTATGTTGCTTACCTCGGAGCGGCATGGTGGTTTTGGAGAAGTGGATGGACTTATACCTATGCTGGAGTGTGAATTAGGACGGGCTCTTTTGCCTAGTGAAATTCATGTCTTTTCAAACTTGTCCATGATGCAGATACGTTCGAAGCACTCATCAATATATTCCTCCAGATGGTCCAGGGCCCTGTTCCTTGTACGTGGTTCAACTAAGTCAATCAAATGTCCCATTATCCAGCTGAGGTGGTTCAACCTGGGATGGTTATCTGGGTTCCTCAAAACTTGAACAAGATGTCAGTCATCAGAATAATCGCGCATGTCCCACATTAGAAGGCGGAAGAGTCAAATCACCGAAACCAGGATTTTTTAACACTACAGCGGCAAATAAACTTAAAGGAAGAGCGTCTTTATTCTCCGCTGACGAGCAGGAGATGATTATGAGGAGGTAGTATGTGTATTTGAATCATTCTGTCAGATGAATTGTGTATTGTACATCTTTGACGTTGTTCCTACTGTACATCCATTGCAGTTTGTCCGTTCCGGGGAGGATCCTCCTCTGTCTCTCTAAAGGTTTCTTCCCTTTACTCTCCCCAATCGAATGCTTTTTCATTGTGTTAGGGTTTCTGGACAGAGGATGTTGCATGTGTACAGACTGTAAAGCCATCTGAGGCAAATTTACGATTTTGTGCTATTGTCAGGGATTGCGGGGGAGGTAGGACTCAGACGCAGAGTTAAAAAACAAAAGGGACTTTAATAGTCAAAAAGGTTAAAGCAA